TTCTTTGCGTAACAGAGAGAGGAAGTTAAAAACGAGATTGTACTGATTATCTGAGAAAGGCATTAGGGCAGTACCGGTACACTGTAGTCAGTTCTATATTTGCTTTAAGCTCATCATGATGTTGTTTGCGCGTTCGAGTGCAAATTCCGTCAGTAATTGTGATCGTAACCGTTCACGATCGCACCCGTGATTGTTATCGTGATCATAAGTGTGAGCTCATTTGCGATCGTGATTACGGCTGTACTGGAGTGAACCATATATCGCGATCTAATCTTGGGTAAAGAAGACACGTGGCAGTTGATCCTGGACTACAGCTAAGCAAATTGTAGGTCTTGGCAAGTGATAAGTCAACATTAATTATAGTATATGTTTCTTAAATTCTCACGTAAGACTCTCTTTTGGTTGAGATAGCATTAGTATGACGATCAAAAAGAGCTCTACTACGTTACAGGACAAGTCGTACCCTGGTTTGTTTGGCCTGGAATTACAAGAACTCGCAAGCAAACACTTCTTGGCCAATTCTACGTAAAGGACAAGGCAAAATATCGTGAGACGGCTCAAGCTGTCAGAAGATTGAGTAAATCAAGTGGATTAAGCATCTACGTTTTGAAAAAGGCGATCTCAAGAGAATTCGGGGTAACTTAAGTAGGGCGCGCCTAGTAACCCTCGATCGAGTGGATTTTCACACAATCAACTGCCAACCAATTCCAACACAATTAACTTTAGTATCGACTCAAATCCACCAAGAAGAGGGGTTTTTTACCCTCCCGACGGGTACACAAGGTGAGGAAGAAAGTAACACGGGTCGGAGTACCTTCCAACAGCCAGTTGTCTGGGGGCCAAAGTAGAGAGTTCGATCACATCAGAAATTTGTGATCGCCACTTCACCACAATGGGATGGTAAAGTATTCAATGATACGCACTGTTGTCTGTGAAGACATCAAATGATCGGTCATAAAGATAATGTCGCCATTTGGTTATTGCGAGTATTTCCTGTGCATGAGCAGGCCACGCCTTTTCGCGGACCCAAAATTGCTTGGCAATTGGGTATCTTCACCATATGTGGGCTAGGAGAAGACGCCGTCTATGCACCATCCTAATGCGTCCGTAATGACAATGAACAAATCGGAAAAGCTTGGCATCTGAAGCACAGGTGTCAGCTGATCGCGATTATTTATTGGCAAAATAAGTGGTTTTAATAATATGACCACTCATTTTGATAAAAATCTTTACGAATGCAATTAGCTGGATAGCAATCGTTGCAAAGTTACAGATATAGCGCTGGTAGTGGCGGGTGAGACCTAAAAGTTCAACTAGTTCAATCGCGTGGTTGACGCCGTCAAGTGTTTAATTGCTGATGCCTTACGCCTGTCGAAACTCAATCCGTTACTCGAAATTAATTGGCCATATAACAACACTATCCCTGCCGAAAATCACCTCTTTTTGTAAGGAAGTAAATTTCGTGGAACAAGCGAAACACAATTCGAAGTACATCACTCTTCGCAATATTGTATTAGGCGGTCCTCCACTCAGTCGCAAATACGCTGCATGTCCAATACTCGACTTCTTTCTTGAATTGGGATATCACTAGACAAGCACCAGTTTCCAAAAAGCATTGATGCTTAGACGCTACAATCCCGGGGTGGTATGTTACACCAAGTCTGCGTGCTTTAACTGCCTCAGCGGCAGTACGTTGATCAAATCTAGCCTATCAAGTGTATCATTTTATGTGTCCATCTCTCTCCTATGACAAAGAAGACGTTCATGGCCGAGTACAGGAGAGAATCTAGAGCCAAGCATACATTTAAATCGACGACGACCTTGCCGAGAGCCCATGCCATTCATTGGCCTTCCCCAACAACCGAGAAAAGAGGAAGTTCACTTTCGCCTTGGGCTTCTCGATGAACATTAAGACGATGGCGATATCGATATCATTCTCTCGATATCATCGGTTTAGAGAGAGACTGTCTCTAGCGAAATCAAGTTAGGCAGAGATGTCAATCTTCACGGATTTCTTTTGTGGAGGACCGGAAAAAATTATGCGATGATTACAGACCATGTATGAAGTAGATGAAGGTATTTGAGAACTTGATGGCAAAATGTAAAGTGATTACATATAGGTCCTTAGTTCGCATATAGCTACCTCTAAGCCAATCCTTCTCGAGCCATCTAGAACCTTTTGTAGAAGCTTCAGCAATGACGTCGATCAATGACGTCACAAGTACGGATACCTTACCGATGTATGGGTACATCTTGAGGTGTCGTCTTGACAACAATGTAACGTCGCGTCCTGATTTTGTAAGCAACAACTGATGTGCTCTTAGCCAAGGGCGGTGGATACAATGTCGTCTCCTGTCGCTATTGGGCTCGTCCATATCGACGCATTCGCGGCTGTACAGCGGGCATAAGCTTTAGCGCCCAGGACGTACAAGGTCTCCAACGAAAGTAGCAGCCATAATAATAAGAGCGTCGTGACATCGACATCCCTCGTTGCAGCCAAGCGATGCAATGAGCTGACAAGAAGCAGTCATTTATGGTGCTCTGCCCTGAGCCATGCCAATGGCATACTTACCGCCGTCAATTAACACAACCCGAAGCAGCCATATACACCCGTATCTCTCGGCGTGACGTCACTCAGCACGTGTGGCTCTGGATTGTCTTCACAACACACTTATCACCGTTACACCATTTTGCCATAGTATATACTCCCACACAACTTCCGAACAAACGAAAAAACTAGCAATTAACAATCAACAGCAGCACAATAAGCATTCTTCACCAAAACAAATTAATCACGACACGATTCGACATTGTGTGGCGCCAACTTAAAGCCACGACAAGCTTTAAACCCAGATGCTGCATTAAAATTCCGAGCAATAATTTATCACCATAACTTCATCACACGGCCAAATACAACGCTACATCAATCACAATCGCGACAATGACCACCACGATCGTGTACAGCTATTTACTCCATCACGTCACGCCTTGCACCTTTTACAGCGAAGCAGCACCGTTATTAACATAAACACCAGCACATTAGACGGTCACTTCGATAGAAGCTGCCACGTGCTACTCTAGCACACACCTTTAAGCACGAGAGGAAGCGGTTAAGTCGTCTAACCTTCGTGCGCGGTGGTGGGGTGTTGATCGACCGCTCAAGCGGTCGCACCAACGGTTGCAGGTCGTCGAAGCAAACTTCGCAGCGAATGTTAAACCAAGAGCTTCGCTTACGACACGCAAAAGCTTATTCAGCTTCTCGGGTGCAGTAAGCAGTAGTTACGAAATTCAAGATTGACTTATAATACAAAAATCATTATACTGTAATAACTTTAACTACTGATTGATTAATCATGCAAAGATCAAAACGCGTCTTTTTACTTTACATGCGAGCTAAAAGTATATTTAAGCTTCGCTGATGACGTCCCCCTGTGACGTTACCTTGACTCCTAGTCCCAGCTGGGCGTCATCCCCGTCGAATGTGAAGCCATCAAATGAATATTACATACACGAGGGTGGGTCACATTGATGTGCCTCAACCAGGTGGTAATATAAGGTACCACGTGCCCTTAAAGACCTATCATATACTTAACGGACTCGTGTAAGTATTGGCTTGTTACAAGCACAAACGCAACTGCAACCTTGAGATACATAACAAACTCACAAACGTCACTAAGTATTTTATCACCACACATTCAACAAAGACACATTACATCACCGAAGTCATCTTCACGCGATCCTTTTTTCGATATTGGAAGTGCATAGCACAGAATTAAACTAAGAAGTTGCCGGTGATGGTGTGGCCTATAAAACCACTGTAAAGCCATCTACAGTACGGTGTGTGCTACACCATAACAAACTATCGGTTTCTTATCGGATCTTAGTTTCATCATGAAGTCTTTATACTTACTTAAAAAGCGTCTCTGACCCGCGATTAGATAAGTGCGAGTCCAGTACACCGCATACAGGACACTACCAATTATCTGAATGTAGGACCGTATTCGTTGCCAGATGCACAAGCCAGTGGAATCCTGGGTATTACACAAATTACAATTTACAATTTGCGGCGAAGAACGAATATGGCAGAAGTTCACGTTTACTATTTTTTGAGGCGTAAGTCACATTGATTCTGGCCCATGTCTTATGGGACTGATGCGTGTAACTAGGAATGTCTATGATCTTTTTGTTTGTACAGGTTGACTATCAGTTTTTATTAATTTTTTATTAATTATATTTAAAGCTCTTAACCATGAAATTTTATAAAAATTATTTTTATTATCTTTTAATAAAGGGTATTTTAAACGTTGATATTTTAAACTATCAAAAAAATATCTTGTTTTATTTGATATCCATTCTTTATTAATATTAAAATTAGTTTTAGGTAAAATACGTACAATTTCATTTTATAGTATTGATATTATTATTTTAGGCGAATTCGAAGTGGAGACTTCTTGCAAAATGTAAATGCCGACTCAGACGGTAATTTGCTGAGTTTATATGGTAATCGTACGTCAATTGGACTCCATCAATGCAAAACACACAGACAATACATTACGTAATTGTGGTCTGAGTCTTTGGACGAGATACGGCATTTACAAGCTATTAGCTTCTTGCACATTTGTTACATGTAGAATCAGATATATGAGACTTTTGCGCCGAACTAGACGGCTCACTTTGTTAGAATGACCAATTGTTGCGGCGGTTGGTCTTTGCCCTTTAATGTATAGGGTGTCCGCGCGCTTTTGAACGAAGTTTGTCCCTTAGACCGTTCATTTTGACAGCGCATTACCAACTAAGATAATGCAGCAGATATCTAAAGTGTAGACGAAGAATGACAGCAACAAGAAGGAAACAAGCTCAAGCAGTTTAAGAAAATTTAATTTGGCCCACTTGAAGAAGAAATCATAGATAACAAGAGCCCAAGAATGGATCGGAACTGAGATGCTGCTGTAATACGTAAACTCATACTGCCGGCCACTTACAATTTTTGCCCATCATTATTACCAGACAAAAAGATAAAGTCCCAGCAGCAAAGTGAGCACGAATGTAGCAAACGCTTTCAGGAAAAAGGTGCGGGATGCCGCAGTGCAATGAGGAGCCAATTTCACCTCCGCAAGCAGAGCGGCACTGTCAATTCGCAGCGGCGTTGCACAATTGACGCCATCCTTCTGTTCCAGCTCTTGCTGTTTTCTAACGGACGCGAGTTTCTTCTTCAACATTTCTAAAGCCGGCAATGCCATGTTACGCCCGGTGGCCAACTCAAAGACATCTCGAAACTCGATTTCAAAATTTGTTCGTAATGGCGGCCTTGCTTCCAAGTCAGACTACATTTCATTGAGTAAAGCTCAGAAATAAACTAGCAACACGAAATGCACGTGAGGTAGTGACGTACCTTGACAACAGACGTGGCCTTACTAGATGGAGCTCCGAGACCAAGATCAAACGCTCGCAAGACAAAATTATTGAAGATCCAATCGGGGAGAGGGAGCAGCACCATCAGCGACCGCACCGGAAAGAGTGTAGCAGCGCTCGTATCAGGATTCGATTCTCCGCTCTCACGTCCAGACTTTTTGTTTGCAGCAGTGACACTTGCCAGCACGGCACGAAACAGTTCGTCCATTTCCAGCAGTGCCTGGAGGTAAAGAAAACGCGTCTTTCGGTCTCGTAGCCCGTCAAAAATGCTTTTTCCCGTCAGTGCATTGATGTAGTAGAAACTACGCAGCATCGTGCATCCCCACTTGATCGCTTCGATAACATAAGAAACAAAGAAATCGTAAGCACAACTCGAGCATCATCTCTATTTCTGCATCTTTTCACCTTGAATGTTCCGACGACTGAGTACCTGGATTCCCGTTCCTTCCAGCACATCCAACGCATAGAGCGCTAAAGTCTTCTCCTTGCTATAATTCCACCAAGATATCAAATCTCAGCACGTACGAGCACAAAATCTCCATCAACTCTCAATTCTACCCACATAAGTCTCTCGACAAAGAAGCAGCCATTGGAAAGCGGTCTTAATACGTCTTTCTCGTCCTTGATCACTTGAAAAGCTGCTCCTCCATGCAGCACAATAGCATTTGGCAGTCTGTACACATCCCGTATAACCTCATTAAACAGTACTTATCATTATCACGTCATCTTTTTCAGACGTACGCTAAATTAAGCTGTGCGAGACGACGCATCGTCGTTTGCAGACTCAGCACGACGCGCTTAGGTCGCTCCTTATCCTGCTTGTTATCCAGCTTCTCATGCAAAAACTCGGCAACTGAGATCGTCGCGTCTATCTCGACGAGCAACAGCCACAAATTACAAGTTTCCAGTGTCTTCCAATTGTCCGACTCCTCGTAGACTTCCGATGAGAACTTCCTGCTATCCAGTAAAACGCCGTCGCAACGCCGCGCGACAGCGTCAGTCGTGGTTGTTTTAGGCCGCTTTGCGTCGCTCTTGGTGTTTGTATCGATACTTACAAGATACGCCTTGGCACATCGACCACTAGCAGCAAGACACAGTGCCAAATATTGGGCTAATTGGGCCTCCTCCGTCGAAAAGGTGCTCTCCTTGGTATATACGACGCCTACGCATGGTAACATGCTGTCACTTTTCAAATAACAGCGTATGATTGGTATAAATAATATAAATACTATAAGCAAATACACCAATAACCACACGTTGCTAAATCATTTCTAAAGCAGTATCTATGATAGGTTTTGTGCCATTCGACTTTTGACCAATCTACAATCGCTATTTTGTCAGTCCCCTCTTATTCGTCCGCGTGGAAGGATTTACCAAGATGGCGGGTGTCACGAATGAACGTTATTGTACAGTGCTGCTACAGCAAGTGACGGGAGAGAAGACACTACCTGCGTCACAAGATGAGATCTTAAAAGAGTTAGAATCCCCCAAGGTAGAGCTCAAGATTCGTGCTGTGAAGAGCGCTATCCTCGCGTTACTTCAGGGCGAGAAGTTACCTAAAGTATTGATGCATATCATTCGTTTCTGCTCGACACAAAGTGATCACACACTTAAGAAATTACTTATGATTTATTGGGAGATTGCACCAAAGTACGAGCAATCAACTACGAGCATGTCGTCTGAAATGCCCAAGACGCCGCCCAAATTGCTGCCCGAGATGATTCTCGTGTGTAACGCCCTTCTAAATGACTTGAACCATCCAAATGAATACATTCGTGGGTGTATGCTACGATTTTTGTGTAAAATCAAGGAAAAAGACATTCTGGAACCACTTAAAGACGCTGTCAAGAGCAATCTCGAACACCGTCACTCGTACGTGAGAAAAAATGCCGTCATGACGGTCTATACAATGTACAAGTCATTTGGAGACGTGCTGATCCCTGATGCACCGGAACTTATTGAACGCTTCATATTAAATGAGAGTGATACGGGAGCTAGACGCAATGCTTTTCTTATGCTGAATGACTGTGCTCAAGACAGAGCTGTGACGTTTTTGATGAATGCAATGGATCAGGTGGCCAAGTTTGGGGACGGATTCTCTCTCGTGATCTTGGAAATGACACGCAAAGTGTGTCGACAAGACCCTGCGCAGAAAGCACGCTTTGTACGTTGTGTCTTTCAGTTGCTTAACTCGTCGTCTCCTGCTGTAAGTTACGAAGCGGCATGGACGCTTGTGACACTGTCAGCAGCTCCGACGGCAATGCGTGCTGCTGCTAAAACCTACTGTGGACTACTTAACTCGCAGAGTGACAACAACGTGAAGCTAATTGTGCTCGATCGTCTTGCAGACTTGAAAAAACACCACACGAAGGTGTTGCAAGAGATCTTGATGGACGTCATGCGCGCGCTTAGCTCGCCCAACCTTGATATCTGCAAAAAAGTGCTAGAAATTGCGATGGATCTTGTCTCGGTGCGGAACATTGATGAGGTGGTGACTCACTTGAAGAGAGAAGTGGTCAAGACGCAGGACAAGACGCGTGAAAAGGCTGGCGAGTACCGACACTTGCTAATCAAAGCTATACACGCCTGCGCCGTCAAGTTCTCTGAAGTTGCCAACGCTGTGGTGCATCTGTTAATGGAGTTTCTCAACCAGCCGGATGGCGCTATGGATGTCGTTCTCTTTGTGCGTGCGATGTGCGAAAGTTATCCGGAGCTACGCGAAAGTATTTTGCAGAAGCTGATGATTTCGTTTGCTGACATCTCGTTGGCCAAAGTGTATCGTGTAGGGCTCTGGATCCTTGGTGAGTACGCTACTTTGCCTTCAGAAGAAGGTACGGAAAGCGACACGTCTATCTTCGAGGCTGCCAGCACCATTTTCGGTGCCATTGGCAATCTACCGTTGGCCACAGAGGCGATGCTCAAGTCACCCACGGACAATTTCGAAGGTGCAGAGGACCCAGCCGCTGCAGGTGCTGCTTATTCGAATCCTGTCACTAAGAGCGTTGTCTTGGCAGACGGCACGTACGCGACGGAAACGTCATATTCTGCACCTGCCGTAAAATCAGCTGCGACTGAAGAAGAGAACGTTCCAGGCCTACGGCGTTTGTTGCTGAATGGAGACTTTTTCCTTGGCGCAGCCGTGGCCTCGACGCTGACCAAGCTGTGTCTCCGTGTATCAAGTGGTGATGTGGCTAGCGCTACTGCTCGCAACGCTGCAATCAAGAAGATGGTTGTGGATTCTACACGATGCATGTGTGCTATTGTGGCTTATGGGCAATCCAAGTCGAGCAAGCACGAGATCGACCAGGAGTCTGCACGTCGCATTCTCATGGGTTTGCGCGTGCTGCTAGACCCGGCTAGCGCGCAGGCTACACACGCGATCATTACAGAGGAATGCCGTGCTGCGTATCGCAACCTTCTTGACACACAAAAGGCACACGAAGCAGAAGCTGCGCGTGCTCTGACCGGTGGTGCTGATGGCCAGCTAGTGACTCATGCAGACGATTTGATTAACTTCCGACAGCTGCGTGGAAAAAAGGCCCTGGGTTCAACTGATATTGACATTGACGATGGTGCCGACATTAATCGTGCTCTTGGTCAGCAGGGTGATGGCTCTAACAATGAATATGCGAGTGCGATGCGCCACGTGCACCAGTTGACAGGTTTTGCAGACCCAGTGTACGCCGAAGCTACTGTCACGGTTCATGAATATGATATTGTGCTGGAGATTTTGGTGGTAAACCGCATTCCCCAGACACTTACTAACCTGACGGTGGACTTGTCTACTATTGGTGACCTCAAGCTCGTGGAGCGCCCTCAGCCGCATACTATCGGGCCGCTTGACCAGCGCACGATCCGTGCCAACATTAAGGTGAGCTCTACTGAAACGGGTCACATCTTTGGTACTATCGTGTACGATTCAGCATCAGGTGCTGAAAAGACGTACATTAATTTGAACGATATCCACCTGGATATCATGGACTACATCAAGCCAGCCACGTGCACAGACGCAGCATTCCGTGCTATGTGGGCCGAGTTCGAGTGGGAGAACAAGGTGGCCGTGCACACGGAGTTGTCGAACGTTTTCGAGTTTTTGCAGCATGTGGTAGACAAGACGAACATGCGTTGCATGACGCCCACGGCGTCGCTTGGTGGCGACACAAACTTTTTGGCTGCGAATCTATATGCCAAGAGTGTATTTGGCGAGGATGCACTCGTGAATCTCAGCGTCGAGAAGCAGGACAGCGGTCGTATCGCTGGTTACATCCGCATCCGCAGTAAGACTCAAGGTATTGCGCTCAGCTTAGGTGATCGTATTACAGCTGTGCAGCGTGGCAAGGATGACCAAGGTAAGCGTAAGAAGCTCCTTGCTTAGTCGTTGCGCTCGAGAATGAAGGTGTCAACGTCAACTCAAGATGAAGAGAGAACAACAGATAGCACAGTGAGGCAGGTAGGTGGCAAGTGTTGTTGCCGTTGTTCCAGCTGTAATGACGAGAGAGATCAAGCACACGTTTTTTCCTGACTTCTGCAGCTACTTATTGGCAGTCTACACCCGCCCTGCTCTAAGCATTCAAGACACGGAGCACGGAAAGGTAAAAGGCACCCGGTCAAGTCTGTGTCGTCAGCTTCCAGAAAAAAGTTGGTGGATAATATCGTATGGCTTCATAGGTAGGTAACACATTGAAATGCAAGGACTTACTCGTCGTACACAGTCTCATGGCCAATTCAATTTGTCTTTACTTTCAAGATGGATATGATTACATCTCATGTTGATGTTTGAGAGTTACTGCGGATGCTATGCTTTAGGACATTTGACAGGAATCGGTAAATCCTTTGCCCGATACGTTTGTACTTGTCTATTCTATATAGTCATGTGATCACGTTCTATGACTGCTGTCATGGTGGCGTGGCAATGATAGCAATGCTGAAACTTTCTTGCCGGTACTCATCGTCTTCTCTTCGGCTCTTTCCCTTGTTCACACCAATGGTGGCGAGGTCCATACCCCACGACGGGCCATACACCTTCATATTACCCGCAGTTCCATCTATCCTAGGAAATGACCCACCGTCCGCGATTCCTCTTGACCTTCGAGCGCTGTCGATATTGTGCGTGTGGTGTCTCACGGTAAGCTCAATACTTACTTTTACAGGAGACAAGGAAAACATCTGCGCTTCAGCAAGCCGGGTCTTCAACCACTCGCCAAGACGCTGAGGCACCATCACGACAGGGATATCCAACACCTCAACAGTAGCATTCTCAGTGCTCTCATCAGTGCCACCCATAACCATCACGAGATCGTCGTCTTCAGTGTTAGCGATAATCAAACCTAAGGCTCCCCACGTAGCTGCATTTTGCGCTTTCGCTTCAAAATCACAGTCGCCTCTTTGAACGAGCATAATTTTCCCTCGGACGCTGTGTTGAGGCAAATTAGGCCCCTCACTGCACGCATTAACAGGATCAGCGACGATGAGTTCCATATGCGGAAAGGCACGAGATGTTTGAAAAGTGTTTGTCACACCAAAGCCAGCACCAACGCAAGGAACAGTCAGCCATACGCTGTGCTTGCCTTTCACAACTCTATCGACATGAGGCCTCGCATTCTTGTGTTGCAGCTCTCCTGGGTAAGGTTTAGGGTCCACTTGAACATGCAATGAGCACCGCTGGTCGACAGGCAAGGACAGATCATCATCAACCTTATACACGTAATTCCATGATAGGTACGGCAGGTGATAATCGTCACGTTGCTCAATCTGTGTTTTTTTTGGGTCCTCAAAAGTATACGAATCAGCACTAGCATCATTCTCTGTGCCATCGTTTGATCCCACCCCTATAATCATGTGGCTGTCGCCAAGAATACCTGAAGCATCAATCCAGTCACCCGTCTCTTCTCGAGTTACGCGCAATCGACCTGGTAACTGCTCCACCCGAAATTCTCCAAGGTGGCTACCACCATCTAAGAACTGCACAACAAGACCTTGATCTTCTTGTTCACTCGCAGGCTGATGACGGTGTGTTGACTCACCGTAACTCCCTTCCAGTAACTGCTCGAGCAACTGACCGTTGACATTTTTACTGCCGATTTTTTGCAGTTGCCCTTCGAGTGCAGGTATCCACTCTTGCGGCACATCTGAAGCTAAACTTTCTTTACCCACAAATTTCACTTTCACGTCCGTTGTCGTTGTCGACTTTGCGCCATCTAAAGCAGTCACAGCTAACTTTTCGATCGCCGGCCTGATGGCCTTTTGAAGTAAAGCAGGCGATGGCGCAGGCGGAGAACAACGCGGTGTTTGTGCCACGGCCTTGCCTTCGTAATGAACGGAGTAATTGATGAACTCGTAAAACTTGGGTAACTGACATCGCATGATTCGTTCGGGTGAAAATCGGTTGTCGTGTGCTACTTTACTGCTGTTCACATTTGCGTCGGTAGCTTGCAAAATAGGCCTAACGAGCTTCGTCGGAAGAATCGGCAGTGGGTGGGCCTCCGTGGTCATCACATAATTCCCTCGCCGAAAGAAATGCGTTGTGTTAAAAAGCAGGTAAAGGTACTTGCACGTCTCGGATAGAAAGAAAGAAGGCATGTAGTCTTCCTGCTTCTTGGACTCAACGTCGGCAATGCTTGCGTACCCACAAGGAGTCTTGGCGTACTTCTGAAGTGAATAAACCACATGCGCACCAGCACGAAGCCACGACGAGTCGTTGGTGGCTTCGTGCATGTAAAATGTCGATTCAATCAGCTCCGGGCGAAGTGGATACCGAGCTCCACCTCCACCCTGTGACTTCACGGGTTTCCAAACATCCACATTGAACTGCTCAGACAGAAATCCGTAGTCGCGCCAGACACGATAAAACGAGTTCATAGATTCCACGGCAGCGCTCAGATCACCAACAGCAACTTGCATACCAGGCCAAAAGGCTGCAAGACTCTCGAAGACGATAGCTGAGCTTACACTACGATGATGACAACCTGTATGCATGAATACGTCAGTGTACCAGTCACCGTGCTTGTTATGAGCTAGCACAGATGGGTAAACTTGTGCAAACATCTCTAACGATTCGCGGTCACCAAAAAGCTCGTACATCTTCAAAAGATACTCGTAGAAGCTATCCGAATTTGTGCCTGGACCTGACGATAACTCAGTCCACTCACCTGTCATCGTATTTATGTGCTTTCCAAGTAATCCAATTCTCGAGCGGCGCTGAAAAAGCGCACGTACAGCTCCTCGTGATGCAGCAGCATATTTAGGGTCTCCCGTAAGGACGCTTAGCATTGTGAACTCAAGTGAGAGCGATCCAGCACCAGCAGTCGAGGCAATAGGTGTTTCTCCCGCGAGCACTCCGCGCTTCAGGTTCACTGTGCCATACGGAATTCCCGTCACAGTGTCAAAAGCCGGCATGAGCCGTTCGGCGAGGTCCACAGCGAGACGTAGCAATGCATCGTCATATCCACCTTCTGGAAACAGCTTCAGGTCGGTATTCACGGCAAAGAGATGCGCCGACAAGAGTCCACCTAATACTCGGATCGTCGTCTCAAAGACTGACACTTCAGTATCCAGATCGTAATTTGCATTTGCCACCACAAGTCCCACTGCTCTTCGGAATTCCGTTGCATCTTCCATCACAGCTAAAGTGTCCAATGTATCAATTAACGTCAACATAGGCAACCGACCCAGTTCAAACTCCCCACCACGACACGAAAGTGGTTGCAAGTCATCGAGTGGAAATGCATGGGTCAAGTAGCCATTATATGCGTGATAAAACATGTCTTTCACTGTCTTGGTTAATGCAATACGTTCGTCTTCCTTCATAGAAGTCGGTGCTGTCAATACAAACTGATCACGCTGCATAAGTCCGCATACCACAGGTGAGCATACATTGATCTCGTACTCACAGGTTAATTTTTCCTCTACAAAGCCAATGTACGTCTCATTGTCTCGAAATGTACAGCATTTTACTTGAATATTGACAGCACGAGGAGCTCCTGTCTCGTCACAGTAATCCCCCAATTTGTACCGTTGTTGTGCCATGTAACCCATACGATCTTGATCAATAATATCGGATAGATTATCAACAGCCAAGACCCGTAGAGGTTGAGATGTACGGACATCGTATCGTCCTAATAGTATATTCTTTTTTGTAGTCTTGTGTTGACTTGGATGAAACTGACGAACGTGACGATCAAAACACCATTCATAATGCCACCAATTCTGAGCCTCATGATAGTAGAGACAGCTCTCGCCTTTCAATTGTCGCTTGAAACGGTTCTTAAATGCTCGATAACTGGCTCCAGATAATGTATACAGACCGTTCGAGGGCGCAATTGGTGGAGACGGTGTCTTGACATGGTTGTGAGGTTGATTCGTTGCTTGTATGAAGCTGTAAGGGGTCCAATAGGACAGTAGTATAGACACAAGAAACGTCGAGACGACACCTTTAGACTCCATAATGCGGTGCGGGAGGGCAACGTATGTGTTTCCACAGGTTTCCGTGTTGCCCAAGGCTCAAAATATGCAATTGGATAGTTTGAACGGGATCATTTATAAACCTGTAGAAATCGATCATGGTACGTCCTCTCCAGCTTCACGGCGAAGGCACTGGAGCGCTGTGTAGGTTTTTAGCGACACATTTGAGCGCCAAGAAGCGGAAGGATCAGAATGTAAAGAAGCTAGTACAGGAAAAGTCAAATATTGTACTGACAACGCGTGAATTGCGACAAATGGCGACGTTATTGAGTGAATTACGAGCCTCTGAGCCCTCGACGCCCAGTCTCGTGTCGTTATTGCGACAAGGAAAAGGTGTTTGTGTACGTGCAGTGGCTGTTGAGGAAGAAGAAGGAGAGGAAGAGCAAAAGATCAAGGAGATGAAGATTCAATGTGTGGCCAAGCGCCGTGAAAAGCTGCAGCGTCTGGATGAGGAAATGCAATATAGTAATCTGATACGTAACTTTAAGACGTCATCGATTACAAAGGAGCTGGCAAACTACCAGACAAATGCACGTCAACATTTCTCTATTGGTGCAAATATGGTAATGGCTCGGATCACGGCATTTGTTGCCGTGTATTTTGTGGCGCAGAATCTCACTGATAACGAGACGACGGTGAGGCTAGTGTTGATTCTCTATGGACTGGGCTGTTAGTTGACGATGCTGTGTGTGTTTTGTCGCTATTGTATGTACTATAGAGACTTGTTGCTGGTCTTGGTGGTGCCATTGTTATGATGGTCATTGAGATGGTGTTATTTATTGCACGTGCAGCAAAGATTGAAAGTTTTGAACAGAAACAGAGGAAGGTTCCGAACATCTTTTAGAGGGTATTCAAAATGGAGGTGGGGATCGGATAAGAAGGGATACAGTTGGTATGACAGGTGGTGCAGTCGTGTCTTTGCATGTAAAGGCTCTTAGTGACGACGTTATGGCTATTGAGTCTCGGTGCTTTTGGAGTTCAGACAAGCAAGTGGTTGTTTCGTTTGCGGCTCTGGAGAGCGTGATCTAGTAATCAGTTCTCCTCGCCTCTTTTGATGCCGGAAAAGGTGAATAAACACGAGTCTCCTTTGTCGCGCTCACTTTTGTTTAAGCACCAGTGAGTAAAGACCTTTACGCAATCAAGTGCTAATGCAAGTTGGATGGTGCTTTGCGATTGCATATCTAGCAGTGATTACACTTCATTGCAGCGCAGCGTTGACGACGACCGATGGTGACTACAGTGCAGGACACGTCCAAGGAACAGGAAAAGAGAATGCAACGGCAGTGATACCTCATGATAATGGCGACGGACCAACGGTCACGTATAGCGAGAACAGCAACGATTCTGCAAATTCTACAGCAATTTCTAACCGTTTAGCGTTCGAAGAAGCCGAAGTGCAGCATCCTCTTCTACGAGTACAACTGAACATTGGCATTTGATCGTGACTCATTCCCATCCCTCCATCCAATAATCTATTTTCATCCAATATCTGATCATTGAGTTTTAGAAATATTAATTATGGCAATATATTATATATATCATTAATTCATCTACGCTATTGTGTCATCACTTCATGATGTGGTCCACGCACATACAGGTTTTATCAGTCCATTATTGTAGCATAAGCATTGGGCAGATGGCTCTCTCGGTCCAAACGATGGCGATCCTGGCGCTTTTGTACGCACTCCCCATTGCGCAATCGACTTGTACGTTCTTCTACCTTTTGTGTCTTTATTTTCCCATCTTTTTTGACATTAATTAGACGATTACACTACATTATAATACCTTACTATACTGTAGACAAGAACGTCGTTTCTGAAACGAATTACAAGGGCGTACAATGGCTGGATGAGGGTATTACTGTAACAAGTCACGTCCATGAATGGGAAAAGTATCAAAGCTTTTGTTTCTATGAGAATGCATCGCTTCATATTCGAATGGATCCATTAAATAGGTACATTTTCTAATGATTAATGTACTAATTTATGTGGAAAGGCACTGACTATATTGTGTACATTTGGTGGTGGAAAATGATGTAAATGTAGCACATTACAGCCGACCGTGATTCAAACACTGGGCCAATCATATGAAGCCAATGTACTATTTAATTTGATCAATACTACTTTATGGTATTTGCAGAGCTCTGCATGGCCATTGCGATCTGTCTTTTGGGCTTGGAGTGAACTACGTGTTGTAGTGCAAAGTCCACAACTTGAAGATTTGAGTTTCACGTTTGCGCGGTAAGAATTGCTGCAGTTTTTGACAAAAGTTTGAGCTGCTTACTTTACTGTTTTAATGGAATATCTGTACTGTATTAGCACGCCAGGATTGCTGTGTCGCACTGTGTTGAAAGCGGTGAATTTGATGCCAGTGTTTGGGCAACACATGCCTTCGTATGTGGTCGATGTGGTGGAAAAGCTTCTTTACGTAGCATGTACGTTGTCTGAGGTTGCTTTTATCCTCGCAGTAATTGTTGCGCTAACCTTATACTGTTTATTGTTGATTTAACTCTTCTGAACTAGCAAAACTCGTGTGTGAGAATTGTGTTGGTGGCTGCTCGCTCCAATGCAGAGAACGTGGAAGACAAAAACTCGTGCATACTGGAGCTCAGTCCGTATCATGCACCATGCATTACGGTGATGGGACCGGCACAACCATTCATCGCGACGTCGCCGCCAAAGTTTAATTTTGATTTTACTTTCTTTACATGTACGTACTGCGAATACTTGTGTCTTTTTTTTCTTTGATTCTCTGCTCATCGCTGACTACTTTGTGCTCTTGTGTGCTGCAGATATCTCATGGCTGTACGCGCAGAATTTTTTCCTAGGTATGCTGCTATTCTTTCTCTCCGGGTGGCTCTCGCGCTCTCGCACGTTTCACTACATGCTGGGTGCTGCAGTGGGAGTGTTTTTCTCGGCATTTCTGGCACTCTATCTTTTCCAGCGTCAGGCTCGAAATGCTACCAACATATTGCCTGGTGCCCAACTTGTTTCGTCATTGGCTTCCGTGGCGACAGTTGCTGTTCCGGTGACTGGCTTTGTGATTATGCCTAACCTTTATCGACTTGGATCGTGGGCAATCTCCTACCTGGTTTACGTGTGGAATCGCGAAGTTCTTTTTGGCATCCCGCATCTGGGCAAGATTTACTTTGCCTTTTTTGCTTTCTTTGGGTGTATCCTTGTTTGGTGGTACCAGTGGGGAGCGTCGGCTAAGCCAGAGGTAGAACTACAGGATGAAGAGGAGGTCGAGGAGATTGGCAACCTGAATGACGAACTGCCACCGCCGACGAACTTGCAACTCATTATATCGCGTTTGCTGAAGTTAGTGGGCATGACGTTGCTTTTTTACAGCACGTCTTCAACAGAAGCCTCTCTCTTGTTGATTCTGCTCGTATCAATTACGCGCGTCTTTGAAATCATAGCAACCATCGCGTACTTCTGGTATCATTTCGAAAAACCCGGTCGCCACAGTGCCTTGATATCGAAGTCAGAATATGAAAAGCAAGGCCAGACAGAAACGGAGAAGGCGCTGGCACAGTTGCAACAGTACTTGAAGGAGAACCCGGATGAATTGGATAAGGTTCGAGAAGATAATGAAATTCGTCTTCGGCGTTTTACCAGAGGACGCAATCACTTGGATACTGCCACACAGGAATCGATGCTTTCGCGTCAGCGCAACCAACGTTGTTCGATAAGGTCGTACTGCTCCATCCAGTAATTCAGTACTTTGAAATAGCATGAAATAGAGGTGTGAGACGGCAAACGGCGTGGTTCTAGCGAGCAGGCTTATCGCGTGAGCGAAGAACGTATGTACGATGATGGGATGTCTGAGTGGTGATGTGCTGTGTGAATCTAACCACAATGCTGCTTGTTCATGCGTTAGATGAAACTAATGTTGCAATCTGCTTTACATCGTATCACATTACTCACTACCTGAATTCCTAACACCTTGGTCTCTCATTTGTTGTCCATATTTTTAATGGTTGATCACGCAAGGCAGCTTCGAGTCCTACTCGACCTACTACCAGTCACTTCTACACCGTCGGTCGGCGTCTCACTCTCTTCTGCCTTACAAGTGTCCGTATCTTCATAAGCTGATTCATCTTTGTCGTTCGTAATCCCATGAGCTCGGGATTCACGCTGAATGGTCTCTTGTAGACGCTGCCATGAGTAACCAGTCCGACTTGAAGATGACCTAGCAGGCTGAGGCGCTTGGTACTGAGAGTAATGGTATGTCGGCTGCTCTGTAGGCTTAGATGTCTCTCGCCAATCTTCGTCGAGCATATTTTGGGCACGTCTTGTTCCTCGTTCAATCGAAACAACAGGCCTGCGAATCGGTGGAATCTGCGTGTAATGGTAGTGACGAAGAATACTTGGTCGGTTGGCCATAAGCATCGTGCTGATCGGTGGTAGTAGTCTGCGTGGAGGTAGCGTAAGCGCCGGAATCGGTGAGCGTACTTCAGCAGTTGACCATGAATGCGACTTGGAAGAGACTGTAGTTGGTGTCGACGGAAACGAGGAAGGATGCAAGATCGTCTTGCTTTTGCTGCTCGCTGTCGACGTTGTGGATCTCCCGCCGTGAGCAAAACAAAAGCCACCCTTACGTGCAGTGGTTGTGCAACCTTCAAAAACACATCGCTTGCCGCCACCGTGAGCGATACAGCGACCTCGACTTACAGCACTATTGGCACAGTTCTCCACAACGCATCGCCGTCCGCCTCCGTGAGCTTTACACAATCCCAAACGCTGCGCACTGCTAGTGCAGCCGGTAACGGTGCAACGCTTTCCGCCACCATGTGCAATACATCGTCCACCGGTCTTCGCACTACTAGTACAGCCATCAACTGCACATCGACGACCACCTCCATGAGCTCGGCAACGAGCACCGCTCACAGCACTACTTGCACACCCGGCCACTTGGCAGCGATGACCTCCACCGTGCGCGATACAGAGACCGCCTTTCTTGGCGCTGGATCCGCATCCTACGCGTTGGCAACGTCCTCCGCCTCCGTGAACGTAGCACAGACCTCGGCTTTGGGCACTACTCGTGCAATTTGGAACTTGACAACGCCGTCCACCTCCGTGCGTACGACATAATCCACCGGAAGCCACATGCTTGCTGCAACCTTGTTCACTGCACTTCCGTCCGCCACCATGTTGCACGCAGAGCCCACGACCCACAGCACTGCTGGTACAACGAGGAGAACCACGGCATCGACGACTTCCGCCATGGCCTACACACAGGCCGCCCGACACGACATGCTTCATGCAGCCTTGTATGTTGCAGCGTATTCCTCTACTATGCGTTGGGCACCGTCCACGACAACGTGCTGCGTTCTGACATCCCTGCGAGCGACACACGTTATCTGCGCTATTCAGGTTGAACGGATCTTCTACTGCAGCGTCTTCTTCGTCCACATCGTGTTCGTCGTCGTAGTCCGTCTCCGAAGTGCTTAAGTTTTCGGAAAGCCATGTGTCCCTACTATCCTGCTCACCAGAGGAATGCGAGGCTGAGTGTAGAAGGTTGCTAAACTTTGGGGAATCGTGCTTGGAATCCTTGGTCATGTCGTCTCTGCTTGAACGAACCATGGGTTGTGTACTGGCAACGCCAGATAATGTGAGCGATCGGAAAGTAGAACTGTTTTTCACCTTATGACCTTCAACCGTAGTGGCTTCTGGAAGCTCGAAGTCTTGAGCTTCGTCGCAGCAGACCAATTGAAAAGTGAAGACGTCTCGCTGTGGTCGTGGAGATAGCAATGCGCTATCGAGAGACTTGCAAGAAAGCCGCAAAAAAGTTGGGTGGGTAAAGAGCGACGTGCGTAAAGCCGATGGAGGCATCGAGCCATCGATAGAAAGCGCCTTGGGAGTCGCCGTCAGGGACGTGGCGAAAGGCAGCTTCCTTATAAAAAGCGATGGTTTAAGACTGCAAAGTCTCGCTGGCGTCTGTCTGGCGGAGAAAAAACTCAAAAAAAGGAGAAAAGCGTGCCGTCTCGTCCCGGATGACCGTACCCGTCATCGTGATAAATCTCGACCATGACCCAGTACTCGAGCGGACTTTCCGCGCAAGTCGCAGAGCATCTCAACGTTAGAAGAAAAAAAAACAGAAGAGAGAGAGAGAGAGGACGTCAATGGACGTCGTGTCACTGGTCGTAAAAAAATGCGTTATGACCAACACTAACTGGGTCAGTAATTAGCTCGTACCTACGTACTGAAGCCCGTAGCAACTTGATTTTAGTCTTCCTTTTCAAGCTTAAGCTCCAGCATAATAGCACTCTTGCGTTTTTGCTTGGCAAAGGCTTCCGGGATCTTCAGTTCAAACATAAAGACCTCGGGCTTGGAGTTGTCTAGAAACTTCACGAGGGGTACACTACAAAAAGCGATCTTGTCATCTTGAGAAATGCGATCATGATCAAATACTTGTACATCCAGCACTGCAGTCTTGGGATCATCGGCAATGAAGGCGAATGTTTCTTCGGGATTCCATTCGGGATTGAGATTCACAGGAATTATTGAACTGGTGTGGGTCGTATTGGCGAGCATGAAAACGACGTACGGGTCACTTTTGCCATTGAAATCAGCAGATGGCAGATCCACTGCTTTAATAAGCGTCACGTGTACAGCATACATGATTCTAAATGAGAGAGAAGAGAGAGAGAAGAAGAGGGGCTTGACGTTAATGAAGGGTAGTGGCTACTACTGTACCCGACGGATGGGTGTAGTAGCTGGTTAGAATTTATTTGATTGGAAGTAATGAATTATATTATTACAATTAAGAAGATTCTAAACGACAGTATTTAGATTTAAGAAGGAATTCTCTAGAACCACAAATCGGCGTATAAAACTCTGGAAGACGAGAGACACTTGAGACAATTTTATAAAATTTAGACACAAAATAGTGACAACCAAACGTCGACGCTGCTTCGTCTGTATGTGAGATGAGAGCTGAAATCAGGATGATTTTTGCCTTTATTACCTCAATAAGTAGCCTCGTACTTCGTGCAACATTCGATAGATATTCAGTTGATAGAATCTCCTTTTCAACCAATCCTATTCGTTTAAATGGCGTTCAGACGATGACTTTGTCAGTCGCACTCTCTGTATCTACACTTTTAAATTGCATCGAAATAGCCCTCAAGACCTCAATAGAATAGAAAAAAGCAGATACAAAGAATCAAATATGAGTACAATGCATACACTACAAGTAACGCTCGTCCAGGCGGGAGATTTACCGATCAGTGATTTTGGGTTCTTTGGAATGGGTGGTAAAAGTGACCCGTACGTTGTCTTTAAAGTCGGACGCGTGAGTCAAAAGAGTTCGGTGATTCCAAACAGTTTGAACCCACGTTGGGAACCTGCTGAGACGTTTCAATTTCAAGTCGATCGACCTAAAGAAAAGTGTCTAGAGGTCCATATAATGGACTATGATCGCTTTATGAAGGACGATTGCATTGGCTCGGTGAATCTTGCACTGGCTCCATTTCTAGAGAAAAACCAGTCGGAAGTTGTGTCATATGAAGTCGAAGTACCACCTGATTATGACAAACAGAATTGCAAGTCGGTGCTGTTTCTTGAGATTCAAGTGACGCCTAATGAAGAAGTTGATCAAGTGCTTGAGCTCTGGGAGAATCAACGGTACCATATTGTTAAGAAATGGACTGCAGATACGCACATTGCTGGCTCAACGGAACGCAAACGCTGGAGTGATATCACGGACGCCAATATCTCATCAGATGCTTTTGAAAAAGTTGCACCGAAGGTACCGAAGCATCTTGTAGCTGAAGGCTGGACTCTTGATGTCTCACAAGGAGACGACAATGGATGGATCTATGCACCGTCATTTGCTGGACCATGGCAGAAAGATCCCTTTACATTAGCTATGGTCAGGCGACGCAAGTGGATTAACAGGTGCACAGCTCCAGGAAACCAGTAAAACATTGCTGGTCTGGCTTTACTGTCCTCGTGTAAAACGAGCCGTGCGTTGATACAATACATACATACTCGAGGTGTCAGCTACAAGTCTTGTCGAAGCACTAAAAGCCGTGACATTGACGAATGTAAAAGGAAGACACAGCAGCACAGGGACGATTTGAATGAATAAGGTGCGTGTAGTGAATGAAGCAGTGAGAATAGAAATGAGCTGTTGACAAAAACGGTTGTGCTTTGGAATGATAGCACTTTTGTCCATGTTTCATGTCTTATCTCTTCTTCTCTTTCTCTATCGACACGAGCAACGTTTTCATGCAAACGCCTTGCTCCACATCTTCTTTTCCTTGTCAAGCTGACGGCGCAGGCGTTCCTTCAGACGCTCGTCAAGCTTGACAACGGCGCGGTCCTGCGGTGCAAGAAGCAAAGCGGCATTGACGTCATCAACCGCAAGCTCCAGCTTGTTCTCTTTCTCGTACGCCGTAGCGCGGCGATAGAGCGCCTTGACGCTCTTAGCGTCGACTGCTAGCGCTTCATTGCAATTAGCTACAGTCTTAGCGTAGTTCTCCATCTTAAGGTAGCACTGCGCAAGGTTCAGGTACAGGCTGAGCTTGATCGCGTCCACTTCCGCCTGGTCAGACTCCGAGAGGTCAAAGAACTTGGAGGCGTGGGTCAGGGCCTTTACGTAACGTGCAGCCGCGTGCTTGTGGTTGCCATCACGAAACAGCTCGTTGCCTTCCTCTTTGTTCTTGACGACCATTCGCATGCGTTCGGGTTTCTTGAGCTTACGCGTGTCGTGATCATCGTCACCACCTTCAGCTTGGCGCTCGGCCTCAGCTTTTTGTGATTCGTGCTCGAGCTGCTGCTCCACTGCCTGCTCGTCGGCCTGAACAGCTGAAAAATACGCCTCGCAAGCGGTGCGAATTTCCATCTCAATGGACTGGTGCTTCGCTTGGATGGCTTCAAGCGTAGCCGCCTCTGCTTCCTCAGAGTAGATCCACTCCTCAGCAGCATCCAGCAATGGATTCAGCTTAGATGAGTCAAGCTTGTCTCCATGCTTGCCGTTGCTTTTAGACCGCATCTCATACACAAAAGACTCGATCGCATTACGCTCGTGAGAAATAGCTGCCAGCTCGGCGTCACGTGCTTGAAACTCCTGTTCCAGAGCGATATAACGAGCAAGATCCATCGCATCCTCGTCAGCTTCTGCAAGGGGAGCAGCTGCAGCAGCAGCCACCTCACTCGAAAAGGCCGCACCCAGAGCAATGGCCGTCGTTGAATCTAGCATGCGACCGATGAGTGCACCATGACGCTGCTGCTCGGCAGGGAATACGCCCATGATAGCCTCTTGTACGAATGGAATACGTGTGCCACCACCGACAATTTCAACCGACGCGATGTCAGCGCTGGCGACGCTATCCTTCGCAGCTTCCAAAACCGTCTGCAACAGCTCCGTGATGCGTGCACGTTCAGCAACACACAGCTCTTCAAACGCATTGCGCGTGATAGAAATGTTAATATCCTTTTCAGGGGCAAGGTTTTCCACTGTCACGGTAGCCTCGCCAATAGTGGACAATAACTTCTTCAGCTTCTCGCAAGCCTGAAACAGACGCTTCCCCTCCTTCGAGTGAAGCGATACACTCAGTCCGTGCTTTGCCTGCACCTCACTTTGGAAATGCTCAAAAAGTCGTCGATCGAGAGTCTCCGCACCAAGATTCAAATCAGCATCGGTGGCCAGCAGCGTCTCACCCTCAGAAGTAAGCTTCACTACTGCAACACTAGTGTTGGTGTGACCCATGTCGACAATCACAATGTGGCGGGCAGTCTCAACTTCCTCCATGGGTATATCGCCATCAGTAGAGGGGGCTTGAGACGAAGCAGAAGCTTGCACAGGGTGTTTGCAATGGAAGCAGCGTGCCAGTGCCGCGTCGCGTGACATGATTGCAAAGCTCGGGATGCCTGCAATCTTGGCAGCCACACGGACCGAGCGCTTCTCGTCATCTCCCCACACAGAAGGCACAGCCAATGTCACATGGAACGATTCATCCTGTAAACGTTTCTTCATTTGCGTCGCTAAATTAGCGAACAGCATTCCCGTTAGCTGCTCCATTGTGAATTGCATCTTCCTACCGTCCTTTCCATAGTCGACACTTGCCACGACGTGGTCAGCCTCATCCACCTCAAATGTAGCTTGAAGACCAGGCAGACGCTCAAGCTGACGCTGCACGTCCGCCAATTGGCGCTTGCCCACAAGTCCAGACAGAAAGCCGATAGTGTTGCGAGGGTTGGTACTGGAAGACAGCACGGCTGACTCACCCACAAGACGCTCCTCACCTTTAAAGGAAACTAAAGAGGCTGTAGTCATTGCACCGAGCTCGTTCAGTACCACATCACCATTACTCTCAGCTACAACGCATCGTTGAGCGCCCTAGTAATGATCAAACAAAACAAAGAAATTTGTAGGAAATAGAGCGAGTTAGAACGTGCAAAAGGAACCATTAGAAGTACAAGAAGAGGGAGAAGAAGATCACGTACAAAGTCAATACCAAACGCCCGCGTGGGCTGCGTCGTTGCCATTTTAAATCACGAGGTCACACGAACAAGCAGCTTCGGGTCGGTGTGATCCGCTTGATTATTTGACGTATCGATACGCTAATTTCGTGTTGAATACACTACAATCCAACAAGTGACCATCACTCCCACAAAAAGGCAAGTTATCCGTTTCAAGCATACAAATTTCGACTAGTTTTGCTCAACGAATAACCATCATTCTTAAATTGTACCCATCCGCAGCACGTCATGCCCAGCACTAGCGAAGATAAAACGTCCCAACGACTTGTGTCTCTATTAGAGACGTTTACACGAGGTGGTGTAACAGTGGAAGAGCTAGAGTACACGGCAGAATTGTTGATCGCAATCGCAGAGGAAGAAGCGACAGTTCGAGACAGATCCAAGCTCGTCGTTAGTTTTATTGAGGTTCTCGAGGAGACAGGACTTTTGGATGCAGCTCAATTGTCTGTTACTGCAGAGCAAGCGGCTAGTGTCGTACTAGGTGATGAGAAAGATGAAAACAGTGAAGAAGATCACGAGACTTTTGTCGACAAGCAAAGACGTCTGCGCAAAGAGCGACTCGAGACGCAATTTGCTATTGGGAAGAGCTGTCTAGTGGTATTGGAAGAGGACAATGCGTGGCACCCGGCACGAATCATCAAGCACCTTGATAATAATGATGTTGAGTATACAGCCGATGCTGATCGTGTTATCGAGATTGAAATAGAGTTCATTGAGTTTGGCAAGAAGCAGATTGTCCGAGAAGACAGAGTAGTGCTGAACGAAGACGTGGCCGGACGAGAAGAGATGGAAGATATGACGGGTTTATGTGAGATGTGTGAGCGTCCATTGAATTTAACGGCACATCATGTCATTCCAAGAGTTACTCACTCCAAGTATTTGCGCAAGGGGTATACGAAAGAGTTTCTCAACACGTGCATCATGATCTGTCGTCAATGTCATAGTAAGATTCACTCGGTTGAAGATAACAAGACTTTAGCACGCGAGTACAATACACTCGAGAAGATTATGCAGCATCCAGAAATCATCGCTTGGGTTGCATATGCTCGGAAGCAAAAGGCTCGCATCAAACCTCAAAAGCAAAGCAAATGGTCGGTGAGAAAGTGAGAGTGTAGCGGGCATGCAGTCTTGTACTTGAAGCTTTCATGCAGTCTTGTACTTGAAGCTTTCATGCAGTTGTTGAAATGGTCGAGCATTATTCAAGGTTCCAAGCGGTAGGGTCCTCATCAATTCAGAATCCGCCTTGGGCTTACACGATATGTACTCACCTAGTAATATCAGTGCAAGGACTTGATTGAACGAGCTGTTCAGATTAGAAGAAGTCGATACGCTCGAAGCTCTGTGGAGCTATCGTGAAGAATATGCCAAATCGGCATTCGTATGTGGATACAGCGCTCGCTGAACAGCAATAGTTACACGCCTCACCTTCACACTTCTTACAGCAACTTGTTTGTAAATGCTCTAACTCTTAAGACTTGTGCATCACGATCTGATGGATAGACTTAGGCATTCAATTGACTCGGTCGAACGAAAGACGGAAGATATCCAAGTGATATCGCACCAGTATGTGCCATAGCCTTCGAGCAACTCGTTAGTTATGTGAAGCTTATACAACCAAGTAACACGGTTTTAATCGTGCAATACAATCGGCGTTTCGTTTCTAGAGGCAATAGACATGGGAGCGCTAAAACTTGTAATCGTTTAACCTATTTGTATGGCTTGGCGTGTAATTCTTGCACTTCCTTGGCACTGGAACTACACAAGCGTTTTGGTGGCTAGGGATAACATGCTATATCCTCGTTATCCTGTCTGTGTGCACATTGATGGTGTGCACATTGATGCACGCCTAAGCATTTTGCGCGACCTCGGCGATTGACTGTGCAATGTACTCAACGTTCTTGGTCGTCACACCAGCCATGCTCACGCGACCGTCCTTTGTCAAATAGATATGGTGCTTCTCGATCATGCGCATCACCTGGGCTTCCGTCAATCCGGTGTAGCAGAACATACCAATCTGGTCCGTGATGTGGCGCCAGTCCGACTTGACTCCATTGGCCTCATCAATCTTCTCGACAGATGCGCGAAGTGCAGTGCGCATGGAGATAATGCGATCTGCCATGCTCTTGCACTCACTGTACCACTGCTTCTTGAGCTGAGCGTCCGACAGGATCGTGGACACGATCAGTGAGCCGTGAATAGGCGGGTTCGAATACATCGGGCGGATGATAATTTTGAGCTGCGACTGCACGCGCTCGGCCTCCTCTTTGCTAGCAGTGACGAAGCTCAGAGCACCGACACGTTCGCCGTAAAGACCAAAGTTCTTGGCGTATGATTGCGATAGGATGACGTTGTGGCCCTCCTTGACAAAGTGGCGGATAGCAGCAGCGTCGCGCGTGGCGTCGCCCGACGCAAAGCCCTGGTAAGCGCAGTCAAAGAACGGGACGTGCTTCTTCTCCTTCATGACGTCAGCAATCTGCTTCCATTGCTCGATCGTAGGGTCCACACCCGTGGGGTTGTGGGCGCACGCATGCAGCAGGAAGACCGACCCGTTAGGTGCCCCCTCCATGTCGTTCATGAGACCGGAAAAGTCCAGGCCACGCGACGCAGGCTCGTAGTACGTGTATCGACGCACCTCCATGCCGGCGTTCTCCATGACGGGGATGTGGTTGCCCCAGGTCGGGTTCGGCAAGTACACAGGGGTCTTCTGGCCCATGAACTTGGTAAAGAATTCACCAGCAAGACGTACACCGCCCGTACCAGAGATGGTCTGCACACCAGTGATCCGACCCTCTTTCAAGGCTTCACTGTCTTCACCATAGGCAAATTGCAGTGATAAATCCACAAAGTCCTTCATGCCGGCAATGCCTGCGTACTCCTTGTTTTTACCAGCGGCCATGATGCGCTTCTCAGCCTCTAACACCGACGGCAGCACGTACGGTTTACTGTCGTCATCACGATAGGCGCCTACACCGAGCGACACTTTGCGCGTGTCCGTGTCCTATACAAAGTAACATCAATGACGTCAAGAGAATGGTTGGTGGGCTATAATAGTCAAGTGAGGACTCGTTGTACCTTGTTAAAGCGCTCGGTGAGACCGAGGATGGGATCGGCGGGGCCCATAGGTACACTAGCAAGCCAATGACCTGTTGCTGCTTTGGTGGCAAAGCCACGCGTGGACTGAAGGAGAAAATTGGAGGAGAGCATCTTCATACTGACACTACAAGGTCGTGAGGGGTTTTCGAGAGTGACCTGCAGCCGTAGAAACAACAAAGCGCTCTAATCGGAGCGTTTATTTACTGATCTTCCCATCGAATACAGATATACAGTGTATAATATACTTGGTAGTAATAGATGAGACGTTCCAAGAGACAAGTCAGGTGGAAGTCCATGCGCCAGCAATCTTTTCGTGTTGTCTATCGATAGTATTGATCAACGCATGACGAGTCTTTCGAGAAAAAGGTCTTAAAGATAGTGTCAAGGTATGAATGGTACTGGAGTTTAGTGCAGATGAGAAGATATAGTTGGAAGATTGAGCTATGACTAAGTATGCAGCGTGTAATAGCAAATTCGAAACAAGCCAAGGAACGTTTCTTGTCACGCTTTAACTAATTCTAGACGAGATATGAGCGCTGCCTTGGAGCTAAAAAGAAGCACACATCTTCGTATCGTAATGTATTGCTGTATCACGAGTGTCAAATCAACCGACGGTTTTGTTACGGTGGTCTTTTTCTTGCCCGCCATGGGAAGTCGCCCTTACGCCAAACATGGAAATGGAGGAGTTTCTGTTTAGCGAACGCTACAGAGTGCTGTTGACGGAACTGACCTATCAAAGTTGCATCGAGAGATACATATCTGTCTTGTTCTCATGATTGCAAGTTATTATGCGCAAAAATGTATTCTGGTCACCGCTAGCGAGCTCGTCCCGTTAGCTCTTCCTGGAAACATAATGGGTCAGTATGGGATGGGTGACATTTACGGGCTAGACCGTCTTTAATGCAGATCGGAAAATCTTTCCACGATCAAAAAATCGGACGCAAAAACGATGCAAGCAACACCGACAAAATCATAACCTTCGCGTCGAGCACTCTTCCATCTTGGTGTACATATGAGCGCGCTGGACTGAAGCCGCATAGGGGCCGAGTTCTCGCGCGATGCGTGACATTCCACAGACTAACTCGGTCATTTTCTACGTGATCCCCCTCCCTTTGTCGTTCCTCCATCCTCTTTTACATCCAGTTGCTTCCTGACGACATAGACAAGCGTACGACACTTGCGCATCTCTACACCGATCAGTCGAAGCGCTGTGATTGGTGGAGATGCAAGCTCCTTTTTCTCCTGTCTTCGCAAACTATGCGGTGATTGGTGGAGATCAATGAAGTGCGTTTGAATTTAAGCGCGAGGCGACACCCTTACAAAGATCAAGTCAAACGCCGCTTCAATCGCCTGTCGGCGTAAAAAACAAGATTTAGTGCATTTTGAGTAGAGCAGACAACGGAATTTCCAGTCCAGCGCACAAAGTCAAGAACCCTCTTCCAGCAACTTTTACGATGCCATCGTCTCCATCCACTAAGAAGGCCAACGTTGGCCCTGGCTACTACGATCTCATCAAGGAGGCCGTAATTTCGCTCAAGGAGCGCACGGGCTCATCGCGTCACGCCATTGACAAGTACGTGGCTGCAAAGAAGGGTGCCAGTTATTCCAAGTCTCGTCTAAACATTGCATTGAAGCGTGGAGTCGAGTCTGGCAAGCTCGTGCCTGTAAAAGGCTCATTTAAACTCGCGATCGAGGAAAAGAAAGGGTCAGTTAAGAAGCCTATTGCCAAGCCTGTTGCAGAGAAAACTGCTGCTGTAGCAAAGAAGACGAAACAATCTACTGCCAAGAATACGACGTCTAAGATGAAAAAGATGGCGGGCAAGAAAGCAGTCAAGTCAGCTGCTAAGAAGATGACAAAGAAAGCAAAGAAGCCTGTGGCTAAAAAGATTGTAGCTAAAAAGTCGTTGACTAAGAAGCCCAAGACTACTAAGAAGAAAGTGGTCAAGAAATCGGCGGCAAAGAAGACCAAGGCTGCCAAAAAGTAAGCAGCTTATTCACTCATTCAAATTGTTTGCGTACTAGTTTTTTTTCTATCGTCGGAGACGGTGGTACTCATTTAACCATGGTCTTGACTGCTTCTTTATTCTTAAATTATTCCGTATGGAATTTAATTCAATTTGCCTTTATATACATTACATCAAATGTTCTTGTCTTGACGGGTCGTACTCGTCGCACGTTGTCGCCACTTTCTCTCGATCTTGACGTTTCTACTGGACGCACTTGTTGTCAGTTACAAGGAGCTGCAGTGTTTTTCCAGCGACGTCTTTTGTATTTGCATGCTACCATCGCTCCTCGTGCAGCCAAATCGTTCTTGTGATTTTTGTCGAGCTTGACTTAAATCTTAGGCCGCATCTTGTCGCAAAGCATTATGTAGACGCTTCACGTTTGGTTCTAGTCATAAACTTGCATTCATACGGTGTTTCTTTTCCTTTACATCTTGGAACGCCATGTCAACGGGCAACGTGACAATACATGTCGTGTCTTTCTGACATAGTCATGCATTGACATTTTGCCGTGACTGAACTCTGTTTGCAAGCGAATCTCATCTTGGCAAGGCTCAAAGGCGAGACGCAGATCGTTGTGAAGCGCGACAGTAACAGGTGCAGCATTTTTAGAGACACCGCGACACTGTGCCTACTATGAACGAAAGCTTGATGCACATGAGAAACGCACCGAGTTAATGAGTTGGGTTGACGCCGCTAATGCAAAAAATGCCACAACAGCTCAGTTCATAAGGTCGCTGATTACAGGTGTATGCTGATATTCAGGCGGCAAGAATTCGCTCATGCGAGATCGACGAGCTTACATGCTGAAAGGCAGGATGCAGCTAAGAAGTCCACGTCTTTGCGTTTGGATTGCGCGAGCTACTGCTTCCCGAGAGCAGAGCCGCCTACGCTGGAAGAAGCGTTTGCCATCTCTCTTCGCGAGGACTACATGGTAGCGTCATCATGCGCAAAGTCTACGCCCGATCTTCGGGCCCAGACAATGGAAATAAACACAGGGTGACCGACATCGTTTAACATGCACGTGGTTCTTCACACGCAATAGGGTCCGATGGTCTACTATCGCTGCCATAAGCAGGGCCACGGCGTGGCGGAGCGCCGCGCCGCGCACCAGTTTCGGTCTTTACTTTAGTTAAAACCACCGGTCATGACGGCGCTACACCGCGCGTTTCGCCGTGCGAATTGTCGTTATCGCAACGTTTGACGGTTTCCGACAATTTCTTAAGCATCGAAGAGTACGCGTTCCAAGAAGTTTCGTGGTTAGCACAGTAGCAATAGAATGACCGGCTGGCCCGGTCAGTAACGCTTTAAAGTGACCCTGACGACAGAAAAGTGTTCACCTACCTCCTAAGAGACCGACACACGTATCTTCGTAAATTTGTCCACAAAGTTGACGTATATAGAGCGTCTTGGACACTTGGGTAGTTGATGGAGTTATTGAGTAATGTCTAGGGTTCCATGAAGCGCGCAACGTACGCTAATCGCATAGGCAATGTCCGGCCGAGTTAAATGTACGGTATTTTGCTTCCTTTTTCATTTTAGAAACCCCGGTGGATATTGGAGATGCAGCCCTCTTTTACTCTATAATCTCGACAGACACGTCACATTCGTCGCTCGGCTGATCAATTTCGTTCAGCCAAATGCTATTTCAAAAGTTAACACCAGTTTGCAGTTGAAGTCAACAAGAGCATCAATGCACCAACACCTTCGCAAAACGGTTTTTTTGACCTTAGACGCTTCAGCGCTTGGTACTATCGTCGTACTCATGTCAGAAAGACTGATTACGCTTTTCCATTCTTACAGGAAAGCTGTCGCCACATCCAGCTGGTCGATTGTCCATCTCAAGTGAGTGTAACTGCGACGATCATTCGACTTGTCTCTTCATAATCAAACGACATGTCTGGGTCATGTCTAGTGTGCTTGCCCCGCCACAACTACTCGTTATGATTCGCTATTAGTGCTGAGGAAGGGTCGAAATCGATTTTTCAAACAAATCAAGCAAGCGAAAGTAGCGTTCTTATCGAGCCAGCTCACCAACCCCAACTCAATAACACAATGGAAAGACACGAGCGCCCCGAAAGATGTCTACGAGCACCAAGAGACGCGTCAATCAACGTGTCGAGCAGCTATGCATGATGAATGTACAGACGTCGGAGAAGCTGATTAAAATGCTTCTTCTGATCAACATACTTTCGGATTCTTGGTAAACCACTTTTTCTTGTCGGAACGAGCTAAATTAGCCCCATTCTGGACCATAAGGGACAAGTGATGATCGACGAGAACTAAATTAAATTGTAATGCGTACTACTAATTATACTTACTACTTCAGTCCTTTCCAGCTGTTGCAGTAGTTGCAGTCTACAAACTTCAACTTAGTGTGTGGTCCACACTGCATTATTCGCGATGCAGCAAGTTCAATGTCAGTCGCCAATTCTCGGTAAAGAAAGCAAATGCTTCGTCAACTTCGTCAGCCTTTAGATGCTGCTCGTCGCGTGTACTTTACGGCTGGATGTAGTTCTACACGTTTGATGGTCGTAGCTTTGTCTTGACGTATTGAGAATCTATGGCACTAATAGAAAAATGCTGTTGAACAGTCGTCTAGCAGCGAGATGGATTTGTTTACACCAAGTGAAGAACACGGTGCGCTCCGTGATATGCTTGCGGGTTTCGTCAAGACAAAAGTAGATCCTCAAGCATTAGAGCACGACCGGAAAGAGAAATTCAACATCAAACTGTTCCGGGAGCTGGGGGGTCTGGGGCTACTGGGCATCACGGCACCCGAAAAGTTCGTGCTGTACTTGTTTAATGTCTTTACCTTCAAAGTCCCTCTAGTCTTCTTAATAATGATGTATCGTACTGTCATAGATACGGTGGATCGGAGATGGACGCACTTGCGGCTGTTATCGCACACGAGGAGCTCTCGTCCAGCGACCCGGCCTTCTGTCTGTCCTTTTTAGCGCACTCGATGCTGTTTGTGAACAACGTTGCACGCAATGCGTCGGACGTGCAGTGTAAAAAGTATCTTCCTGATGCTTGTTCGGGCGAAAAGATCTGCGGAATGGCCATGAGTGAGCCCTCAGTCGGCACGGATGTCCTGGGAATGCACACCACGGCGAAGAAGTCCGATTGTGGCAAGTTTTACGAAGTGAATGGAAGCAAGTACGTGATGAATGTAAAGATTCTTGTCATGTGACGGTATAGGAAGAGGTGAAGAAGTTTTTACGCAGTTTGATTGTTGCTGTTTGCTGTTGACATTTAGAATGTGGATTACGAATGGAGCTCTAAACGATACTGAGCTAGGTGACACTTTCTTGGTCTATGCTCGAACTGGCACCACGGGGAAGGCGAAACATGACTTTTCGTCCTTCATCGTGGAGAAAGGTTTCGAAGGATTCTCACTTGGCCAGCGGATCAAGGACAAATGCGGCATGCGTGCCTCTAATACAGCGGAGTTGGTATTTGAAAACTGTAAAGTGCCGATTGAGAACCTGATAGGCACCGAAGGCAGTGCCGTGCTTTGCATGATGCGCAATCTCGAAATCGAGCGCGTGACGTTGGCAGCAATGAGTTTGGGCATCGCGAGACGTTCGCTTGAGGTCATGAACAACTATGCCAAAGAACGTAAAGCCTTTTGCCAACCGCTGAACAATTTTGGGCAGATCCAGAAGAACATTGCCGAGTCGTACGCTGAGTACATGGCCGGGCGTGCATACGTGTACAACACGGCAAGGTGAGTTGAGTCGAATCGGACACCTTATGGTTGTGTTGGAGCTGCGCTAAAAGCCCTTGACATGTCTGGGTATGTATGGATCATTACAGGCAGCTGAAGCTGGATTCGGTGGGCAACCGTGTTGACACGGACGGTGTGAAGCTCTATTGCGGCGACATGGCGAAGCGCGTCGCGGACCGCGCCATCCAGACACTTGGCGGCTACGGCTACGTCGGCGAGTACAATGTCGAGCGTCTCTGGCGCGATTCAAAGCTGCTGGAGATTGGCGGCGGCACCAACGAGTCGCACCACAAGAACATGGTGCAGGACCTCGTCCGGAACGCGTTCTAATTGCCACCTCACGCAAATGGTCGTTTCTCAAAATGAGATAAATGACGATAAAGAGCTTATCAAAATAGTGGTATGTTAAAACCTTGGCAGACATCAATTTGCTGCATATCTTTTCGACAAGTAGCCATTTAGATAACAAAGACTTTATCAAATCAACTTTATGATTTGAATGGCGCTTTCATATTTACTAACTAGTACCATGGTGTATAATAAGTAAGTTCTTATAAATAGTCCAGCAAGTCTCTCTATAAGAGCACATCGCTGCTTTGACGTGGCGACATGTGACTGGCGGTTTTTTGCGCAGTCTTGAGTGGTGACGACGACGGCACCCTGTTCTGCTCCTCGTCCCGTTTTTTTATGAACTTGCTAAAGCTTCGACCTGTATCTGTGTAAAGACGATCAACATTGCCCTGTTCGTCCTGCGTTGACTGCTAGTGACACATATTGCTCATTCGCTCGGTACGTGTAATGGATGGGGATCGCATTTGACAGGTTAGTGGGAGCTTTACATTGGTTGACCTGTCGTAGACTGTGCTGAAATGATTGCTTTCTTTTCGTATGGATCAAATGATTTGCGATGCAATCTTATGCAGTCAACCCACGAGAAGGGTATTTTAGTAGCATGAAAGTGCAATTGAGGTGGCAGTTTGCGACAGGAGCAGGAGTCCAAACACAGTGACAGTAAATGCGTCTGATAAGCGACTTTTTAGAAAGACCCAGGTGAATGCGATGTTTTTGGCAATGTCAGCATTGTTAGCGTCACGAAATGCTCCAATTTTAGGGATCTTTTTATCGGTCTCGAGGCATCTTTCGGACTTTATAGCGAAGAATGGTGGTGTGGCAATCGACTTTGACGGGGGTTGTCACGAATTCCCGCCGAATATGATACGACGGCAATCGAGGTTTTTCGCGACGTGCTTACTAAAATCAAGTGACACGGTCGGTCGCTGAGGTTTTTCATACAACCCGTTCTTCTTTCTTTTGTTTTCCCAGAAGTCATTTTCGAAAGCAAGCAAGCAGTGGCAGGCGGGCTCCCAATACAAGACCCCGCCCTCTTTTGGAGTGACCATCACTCCTAGTTGCACTGTCGAAATTTCCAACCTCGAGGTCACTTCTCAAAAAGGCACCAAACCGGCAGACCCGGACCCGAGTGCAAATTTCTCGGGTTTAGTGACCCATTTCTTGACTACAAGAGCGGCCAGTAGTACGCAGTCGGCTTCGTCCGAGCTGAAGCCAATAGCTACCATAGGTAATTTAACACTGGAAGAGTTTCAAAACGAGGTGGTGCATCTCGACAAGGCAGCAAAAGGCGATACAAAAGCGGGGTTTCAGACAGCAGTGGTGAGCCCTAGCGACAGCGCCACCCCGTGGACCTTGGGTACGTCCCAAGGACGCCTTGACGGCGAGGCGCAACAAGAACGCGCTAGTGTACGCGTGTGTGTGATGATGGTTGAACAACAACAAACGCAAAAGCCCGCACCTACCGCTACTAGCAATGGAACCGTAGCTATGATCAAGCAGGAGCCCATTAAGACCGCCAATTCTCCTTTGGCAAACGTTATGACGAACAACAATAACATGAGTAGTACGATACCAAACGTTACGGTAAAGACGGAGAAGGAGAAGATAGTCAAGTCTGTACCGGATCTTCCTCCTGAGGTGCTACAGTACGCGCCACTTCTTGTTGGCAAGTACTATATTCAAGATAAACGTGCAATGTGGTCCGGTATGTGGGGTATGAATGAAGCGGCGTTTGGACCCAAAGGTATCATCAGTACCTTTGAGATGAAGTCGCAGGAAGATGTATCGATTCCCTTGTGTTCGGGTGCTGCAGATGTGGTGCACCCGGCGATGTCGGCCTTCGCACTTGCACGGTCGTCCCAGACGACAAATGTTGCTGTCAGTGAAGTATCACCGGTGTTTATGGGCTATGAAACGGATGCGAATGTACGGTCGATGATGCCTTTCCAGGGCAAGTACAGAGGATCTTTCCAAATTCAAGCGATAAAGGGCAAACACCAAATTGTAACGGAGGATGATGTGGAGATTCGGTTCGTGCACGATGTAAGCAATCCGTTGCAGTTCATCGTTTCTGGATCGGGCGAGAACCGTTTTGGTCAGTTTACGCTGCATGGTTTTTTGGAAAAAGAGACAAGTGAACTGCGACTGTATAAGGTCTATAAGCCTAAGGAACCGGTAAAGCGGACTTTTCCGCGACGTGGGAGAGCGACGCGGGCGGTGACACCCGCGGCAAAACGTGAAGTGAAGGCATTGTCTATCTCTGCGCCAGGCGTTGCTGCCATTACGGCGTCTGCAGATGTCGCTAACGTTGCGACCCCTCTTGCTCGTCCGACTATCGTTGTTCCACGTAAGGTTGGCACGCCGATGTCGGACTATTCGTCTCCGTCGTTGGTGTTGGGCCGCGCGGAGCGAAAGCGATCTATTCCTGCGCATCTGCGTGAAGATAATGTACTCGAGTTTGATCACGCTCCGGTGACCATGAAGAAGTGCCTTAGTGTACTTAAGGGCCTGATGTCGAATCCCAAGTCGGCACCTTTTCGGATCCCCGTCGATCCTGTAGCCTTGGGCATTCCAGATTATTTTCACGTAATCAAAGAGCCGATGGATCTTGGAAGCATCCAGAACAACCTGGAGGCTGGACTTTACGATAGCCCTAACGACTTTGCAGACCATATACGACTCGTATTCCGGAATGCGATGCTTTATAATGCTGCACACAGTCAAGTATACATATACGCAAACAAGCTTATGGACGACTTTGAAAAGCGTTTCCGAAGTCTTCATTCGAAGCTTTCAATGAAAAGTAAACACTCGGATTTGAAATTGAAAAAGGACAGGAAACCCGATGTGATTCACTCTATGAAGAAGATTAGAGGAGGCAAGGGTACAAAAGGTAACACTAAGCGACATGGGTCTAGCGAAGAGACTGGGTTGATTATGTCATTAAAGGAAGATATTGAACGCCTGAAAGCGACGTTAGAGCAGCTGCAGCCAGGTGTTAAGCCTGCAAAGTCTGCTACCAGGTACGTTACGTAAAATGTTTGGTGTTGTGGTTTTACACATGTGCGCTAACAACATCTGTTTGTGTGTTCAGACCGTTTAGAATGGAAGATTTGACAGAGGAGGAGCTGAATGAGCCCATGAGTCAGATGGACAAGGCTCGATTGAGCTCTGACATTAAACTACTCCCACAGGACAAAATCAATCGTGTCCTACAGATCATCGCCGAAGCTGTTCCGGTAGCAAAGCTGGCCAACGAAAACGATGAAGTAGAGTTAGATATCAACGCTTTCGACACCCGGTGCTTGCGAATGCTGGAAGGATATGTTAGGGTAAGAATCCCACGCCTGTTCAAGCTACTTAGTTGCGCCAGTACTAAGTTTTACTGTTTGCCCCTCTTGTAGGAAAACGGGATTGGTCGCAAGCGAAAGCGTCCTACTAAAAATACCAAAATGGCGCCAGCTGAAAAGCGATTGAAGTCTGCCGAGGTGGCAGCTTTGAATATCCGGCACCGCCAGGAAGAACTGAAGAATCAATTGGCTGCAATTGACAGAGGTGGTACCAGTGTAGCGCGTACGACACCTTGGGGAAATGGCGACCGACATTCAGACCGAGATATTACGATGAACGACGTAAGCACCGACACTGGAGCTGGTGCTGTAAAGAGAGATGGCGACAGCTCTTCCAGTTCATCGAGCTCTTCCGAGTCATCAGACTCGGACAGTGATAGCGATAGTGAATCCGACTCGGACGATGGCGGCGCTCCTCTGCAAAGGGTGGGTTTATGAAATTTAATTGAGCGAGTGAGTAATAAGAGCTGGTGAGTTCCATTCACGTATTAATTGACGCTCTTTCATGTCATGCTACAGTCCCCTCCGCTCGCAAGTGCCCCAAATTTGTCACAGCTCGACCCTTCCGCCTCGGCTCATGCTGGTTAGTGGTCGCTCCCTATAATGCGCACAAAGTATGTTGAACATCACTTTGACGCTGTCATGTGGTGTCTGAAACAGTCGATGTTACTAAGAAGATCCGCGATGAGCAGCTGTCAAGCTCAGAGCCTCTTCGTGTAGAAAACCGCGGGGCTTGGAGTATGCTGGCCAAGAAAGAAACGTCTAATGGAACGCCTCTAGTACACTCTAATGGTAGTAGTGAATCGAGCTCGTTGTGGCTATCTGCGCGTTCGATGGAGCAGATCAAGCAGCAGAAACTGCAGCAAAAGGAGAAGGAGCGCACAGATGAACTGGAAGCTCTGAAACGCCGTGAGGCCGAGCAGCGTGAGAAGGAGAAGGAGCGCGAGAAAAAGAAGGAGCGCGAACAAGCCGAGCGGCGGAAGCTAGAGCAGCAGGCGGTAAGGCTGGCTGAAGAAAAACGTCTTCGAGAGGAACGTGTCCGCGATGCCGAACGCGTGCGCTTTGCCCAGCTTGCGATGGAGCGTGAGAAGTTGGCCCGAGACGACGATGTCGAGCTCCACGACGCCACGCTGAGCGAAGATCTGGATGCATTCAGCTCGTCCTCATTTTTGTAAGTCGCGGTGAGCGATGAGGTGAGCTGAGACCTTGTGGAATGTATCCGAGCTCCCGTCGAGTGCGTACGTGCGTTGGTATTTAAAAGCCCGTGACCCGATTTGGAGCGTATCCAGGAGTAATCTATCTAATCAAAAAAGTGATCATAATGCTGGAAAGTTTGGAAAGTCTCGTCACACCCGTCGCACTCTAGTAGTAGTCACGGGCGCGTTTGGCCGTAGTGAAACGATGCAATGTGACTTGACGTGGGCATGACCAAGCAGATCGATAAACAGCTGTGCACTACGCGCAGTCGTTGAGCACGACAGCTCAACTGCATCTGTACTTTACTATACAAGGCAAAACAAGGATGAACTGCAGGAAAGGATCCTGGGTAGCGTCTATATTTCGTATGTGAATCTCGAGCTGGCGAAGAAATTCGATCAGACTATCACCTTCGGACGAGTTTTGGTGGAATGTCTCGAGCATGGCCCACATTCTCACTTTCGTGCATCGGTACCGTTGACATCATTACTTGGTCTCTGGAAGAACCTTGTACGGGTTCAAAATTCCCTTAGGGTCCATCATTTTCTTCATTTGCTGCATGAGCTTGATAGCATTGCCAGACTTGGACATGTGAAGGTACTCAGGCTTGTGCCTACCAATGCCATGTTCAGCGCTAATGCTTCCGCGATACTTGGACGTCCACTCAAAGATAAACGGCTCCAGCGCGTGAAACACCTCGTCGTCGTACTCTAGCGTAGAAACGTTCAGATGAACGTTGCAGTCGCCAATGTGGCCATAACACACGACCTTAGCATCCGTCGATACAAGCCTTTCTCGGGTTTCTTCCGCGATTTTGTAGTATTGCTCAATCGGCAATGATATGTCGTACTTGTGCACATACCCACGCGCAGACAGAGCAACAGTAATATCTTCTCTGATCAAAAAAAGTTTGCGAGCTTGAGCCTCATCCTGAGCCACCGTTCCATCGACTACGACGCCGGATCCCATGACATCCTCCAAATACTCGTTGAGCTTCTCCATATCATGATCAGAATTGCTGCCCGACGTCTCAATCAAGACGTAGTACGGACTCGGTGTCTCGAGCGGATCCTTTGTCCAGTCTTGCTGTCCCAGCACCATGTCCAGCGACTGACGGTCCATGAATTCCACGGCCGATAGGACTTCTCCTAAATGTTTTTTGGCTTCCACAAAAGCCTTCTGGACTGATACAAAGTCCTCACAAGCCAGCAATGCTACGTTCTTTGATAAAGAACGGGGTGGTGTAAGAATTGATACTTTTGTCACGACACCCAATGTACCTTCTGATCCAATGAACAATTGCTTCAGATCATAGCCAGTGTTGTCTTTGCGCATGGTACTAAGACAGTCAATAACTGTACCATCAGCCAATACCGCTTCAATCCCCAGCACTGTACCATGCAATGAGCCGTAACGTAAAAGCCTCAGACCACCGGCATTTGTCGCGACATTGCCACCAATTTGACACGTTCCTTTCGCACCAAGATCCAACGGCATCATGTAGCCATGTTTGGCCACATAATTGTCCAAGTTCTCCAAGATACAACCAGCTTCACACACTAAAATACCAGAAACCTCATCAAATGAGATCACATTGTTCATTGAGTTTGTAGATAGCACAATCTCGTCAAACACTGGCACGCTACCACCCACAAGCCCCGTGTTGCCTCCCTGTGGTACCACCGGCAAATTACGTTCGCTACAGTACTTGAGAATAGCAGCAACTTGTTCCGTAGTCTTTGGTTTAAGCACCATCTGATGATTGCTATTAGCCTTGTACTTCTTTAACCAGTCGACAGTATACGCTTCCGTATCATCAGTATCTGTGAGGACGCTCTCGGGCTTAAGCAGCTGTTGAAAATACGTCTTGTCCTCATCATTCCAAGATGTAAACAAGGGGTTGCGTGTAGGTATCGAGAAGGAGCGAACAATAGACCATGGGAAGGTTTGAGTGGCCTTGAGTCGGCGACCTGCCGTTCGAAGCAGCATTAGAAGGCGAAATGATGTGTGGTACACATGAAGGGAATGTGGGGCGAATGTATGTGGGTACTTTAGAAAAAGGGGTACATTCATTTCGAGACAGTAGCGATTGGTAGGAAGTGCCATAGAATCAAGAGATACTCGCGCTATGTTTACGTGTACGGCATGCCGCTTGGAGTTTGCATCGCCTGCAGAGCAAAAGGAACATTTTTGTATGGATTGGCATCGCTACAATTTAAAGCGCAAGGTGGTAGAGTTGCCGCCAGTGTCAGAGGAGCAATTTGATTTTCGTATGCGTAAGGTACACGAAGAAAAAGAGGCCCAAGTCGCTAATGATCCCAAGGAAAAACAACGTGCTCGAAAAGAAGAGATGAAGAAGGCAGGAGTGAAAAAAGGGATGAAATGTGTGGCTTGTAATAAGGCGTTTACGACCATTAACGCCTACGAGAACCACTTGATGTCGAAGAAACACTTGATCAATGTTAAGAAGAATCCTGAGGTTGCTACAATGATGGAAATGGTAGAGAAACAGATGGAAGTTACTTCATTAAATGAGGTGATTGATGAAGACTCTACTGCTACATGGATCACGCAAAAAGATGTAAAGAAAATGACAGAGGAAGAGTTGGCGAAAGAGATTGAAGAGTACAAGAAGCACGTGCCACTTGAAAAGGAGGACTGCATCTTTTGTACATACCAGGCAGTAGATTTTGACGCGAATTTGGACCACATGTTAAAAGAGCACGGTTTCTTTATTCCTGATGTGGAGTTTTTGGTAGACCTGGAAGGGTTGATCAACTACTTGGCTGAAAAGGTCAAGATTGGCTTCTACTGCTTGTACTGCAACGGCAAGGGTAAAACCTTTCGCTCTTATCAGGACGTGCAAAAGCATATGACGTCACTTTCTCACTGCAAGCTGCGTTATGATGACGTCGACATGGAAGAGTTGCTGGAATTTTACGACTTTGAGTCTCAGTACGCGTCGTCAAAGAAGAGCAAGATTGCTGCAAAAGAAGAGATCGAGTGGGAGACTGATAGTGAGGCTAGCATTGACAGTGATGAAGAGGTCGTCGACCAAGACATGGAAGAAGAGGGCGATGACGAAGACGATGAGAACACCATCGGTGTGTCCGAGACGGGCGAGCTGGTGCTGGCCAACGGCCGTCGCCTCGGTCGCCGCGAGTTCCGTCGCTATTACAAGCAACATTTTCGTCCGGATGAGACTCGTGCGTCAGTGCTTGCTGCTACCAAGGAGAATTTGCTGCTGGCATACCAAACAGCCGGCATCGACCCTCGTGTTGGCAGTACTGCGCTATCGACAGCATTCGTGGCTAATTTTCTCAAGAAGCGCAACAATATTGCTGGCGGCATGTCGATCGTCGAGGCCAAGCGCAAGAATTTCTGGCACGAAAAGAACCGCTCGCGTCTGGACAACCGCAGTCATAAGCTACAGAGGAACCCGAACCGTAGGGCTATGGTGACAGTTTAAGAGGCAAAGTAAGACGCACTGACAATACAAGTCCATTTTACAGTGAGAGTTTGTCTTTGTATCGCAGGTTTGACGCGATCGATTCAGTCAATGGTACAAATGAGACTCGACTGGGCAACCGTCCTCCCGTCCAGCCATTTGAATAACGGGCTCGTCTTCCTTCCATCTATAGCAGAAAGTGCTCCTTCGATAACATAGTCCATACACAAATGAGACTGGAGTCTTTAAGCCGCAGCAAAGCATGCCAAATGATATCACGATTCCAAACGTGGCTTCATTTTAGTCCTACAAAGACTGAACCTTTCAACACGCATCTTACCATCGCACACGTACGTACAGAGTCCAAGTAAATCAGACTCGTAGCACGCGTTACTTGCGTCCACTTAGACTTTTTCTGACTCAGACTAGCAAGAAAAAGCTCTACAAAAGCCTCTTGAGCCTGATGGACACGACACTTTGATGCCCTGTGACTATTATACCACACCTCAGTCGTTTTGTCACAAGTGCAAACAAGTATCACCTCAACCCCATAAAGTCCCTTATATCTCTCCCTCCATTAGTAGCGCCACAGAGATTAAAGTGATGTCATTTTTCTGAACTCCGTACCCTTTTCTTGAACATGGCGTACCTGAAGCGCAAAAACGAGACATGCATACATTGTGCAAGATAGCGCACACGACTGTCCGTTCTCTGGTCTCACTCTGTCGTCGATTGTAATAATGTCGCTGCGAGTCCGGGTTGCAGCAAGATCGATCGCCCGTCGGTGGTGAGCGCCGGCCGGTGGATGGGTTAATTATCTCGCTTTTTTAGAGGCGGAGGAAGAGGCGACGAAGAAACTGCACAGTCTGACGTGGCAGTGCGCGTTTTTGACCAGAGGAGGAGCTGTGCTCTGTACCGCATTGCGAAGAAGCCTCTGATTCGGTTCACGAGACACTGGAGCGGGCTCAGTATTAGTGGAGACGATGAATCGTGTCAACACCTTCTTTTGGTCCCGTTTAAATCCCACCGGTGAGCTCGTGCGTTCCGTAGACGTACTGCTGCGTGAGTTGGTACCGGATGAGAAACTGGACGCCGCCTTTGAAAATCTTAGCATTGCTGCAAGCTTAGGCGCAGTGCTGGTAGAATGCAAACCTCAAGGCGATGACCGTAAGAATAGCGGCGTGCAGGCAGGGACGGATAAAAGAGCAGACGCATGTGAACCAGACTATGAAAACAATCCACCACTTGAGGAAGAGTCGAGCGATGAGGAGTCGGCTACCGAAAAGACAGTGCCTGGTGAGCTCGAACGCAAGTGGGCAAAGATCCGTGCTGTATTCCACGACTGGGACGAAGAGCAAGGCGACCGTGAGAAGAAGATGGACGATATGGCTGAGCTGCTATTACGTTACCGAGTGCTTGAGAAGGTGCTAATGCCCAAGGTGCTGGGACAGCTGACGTTCGAGACACGCAAGTACGTGGGCAACGTGTTTCGGGCCATGACGGTACACAATCTGCGCGGCTTCATTGAGCTCATTGGTGAGCGACCAGACATTATGCGGTGGCTTGTAGAAGGTTACAAGAACAACGACACCGCACTTATCTGTGGCTCGATGCTGCGTGACTGCTTCGAATATCAGACGCTTACGATGATCTTCTTGAACGACCTCGAGCCTGCGTTCGAGTACTTGTTCAAAGTGACGATGGAGAACAGCAACTTTGACATTTCAGCTGACGCACTTATCAACATATCACGGCTCCTGACGGTGCACAAGAAGGTGACAGTGGAGCTCCTGGATAAATCATTCGACCGCATCTTTGGACTATTGAATGGTCTATTGACGTCAGAGAATTATGCAACCAGGAGGCAGGCACTTCAATTGCTTTCAGAGCTCCTGCTTGACCCCGTCAACTTTTCCGTGATGCAGCGGTACGTGTCTTCGCGCAACAATCTAAAGCAGGTGATGCTACTGTTGCGTGAACCGAGCGAGGCCTTACGGATGGACGCCTTTCACGTGTTTAAAATCTTTGTGGCCAACCCAAACAAATCGCCTGAGGTGGAGCAGCTCTTGGTGCGGAACCGCGAGAAGCTACTGGCGTTCGTCAGTGATTTCGGCAAGAGCGCGTCTAACCGTGATTTCCTTCAAGAAAGGTCACTGCTGGTGTTTGCACTGGAGCGAATGGCTCAGAAGGAGAATGCACAAGAAAAGGATCAAGAGCAAGGTGTGCGACCAACGTCTTTGTCAAATGCCGAGCGATTGCTGCTTCCGGGTCCAGGGTCAGAAGTTTGTGCAAAGCAAAAGTAGCAAGACGACAGACGAGAGCAGCTCGTGTCATACATGTACTAGTATTTAAGAGAGTTGCTAATTGTGCGCAGAATGAAGCTACAATGGCAACTAGGACTATCATTGAATTTTCTGTGCAGCTATATCTCTGATCAACTTTTTATGTAAAGGCTGCAACTGGACAAGTGAGCCATGGAAACAATATACTTGCAGCCTAATCCAACGACGATTATGTCCATCCAACTGACGGGATCAGAAATAGTAAGAGCTGTATATTTGCAGTTTTTTAATACCACTTCTAATAATGTTTTAGATTTATGTAATTCTATATTCTTATTATATATTACATTCGCGTTCAGCTCAAATCCTATTTTGTTTTCCGAAGTACAGTAGCTTCTTTGCTACCGAAAAAATCCACAGTCGGATTTCTCACATTAGACCTCCGTCTATATAACTTACAGTCATTATGACAAAATAGAGCTCAGTGCGAAAAAAAACTTGCATTACCATAAATCAATAGTTTGTATGGGCTGCTGGCATTCAGAAAATGGACAATAAAACGCGTCTCAATTCCAATCGAGTGCTTTTGTACGTGCCTTCCACACCAATTCGAGCAGAATCAAAACATGTCTCTAGCGAGGAATTGCGTTCCAGGACAGCAGTCTTGGTATCACCATATGTCCTAGTTCTCAGGTTCTAACCGATTTACCTTTACACAAACAACCATTACGCAAGGGTAATATCTTTTGCGAATGGTTTAGGATCGCTCACTTGAATGCTCACCGCACAGACTCTGCGCCGTTTTCGTCAATGCGATCTTTTACCATCACCGGTTGCAAGAAATGGCCTCGCTTTCATATTTTCTTCAGTATAGACGACTATTCCAAGTGCATATTGTACGATTCCGACCTATAATGTGCTCGCTATGATGTTCGTGCTTATGAAATCGCTGACGACTGTTCCGAACTCAAGAGTACGCTCTCTTCTGCGTTTGCTCACCGTGTTAGCTTCAACTACCATCTCCCTCGAAGACCCAATCTTTGCTTGGCCATGCGACGAGCTGCAAATCAAATCTTTCCATCCCATTTGAAATCGATAACACGCACTGAATCATGGTGGTCACTCACTCACTCACTTACTTATTGTTATTGCAGTCTATGGCACGTGTGAACTAAATTTTAGTACTGTCTGTATCTATTAGAATACTGTAGTCCTTAGGCGCGACATTTCCCCCATCACCCCGAATTTTGTCTCGAGCTTCTGTTTTTCCCACACGATCGATGTCGTACAATCGTAAAAACGAAAGCGAGAAAGCCTCGCTGGTCGACCGTCTTGGTGGCCTCGGTGCAGCTTCAGTAAACAGTTTGCATCGAATCTCTCACTTGGATTGTAAAAGCCTTTATTGAGAGCTTCTACCGTTTGTATAGGATTTGTCCAATTACTATGATTGATGAAGATTCGATATCGGTCGTCATTACGGCCTCCAAGGAAGTGGAAAGCAATGACGCACTGGATAACGACGAAGGTGACGTCAAAAGCCATGCCAAGGGCCATAAATATACACTATACACGGTCTTTGTGCGCAACATTTCAACGGGCGGCAAGTGTGTGGTTAGGAGACGCTACTCGGATTTTTACAAGCTGCGCAAAGAGCTCATGGAGCTCGTGTCCTGGGGCCACTGCGGCTTTTGCGAGCAGTATCTGAAGCAGATTCAAGAATACCCTTTCCCACGTCGACGGCTGCTACGATCAAGTCGAGCCGCAATTGTAAAGGAGCGCATGGACAGTCTTGGACTGTTTCTTAGACACATGCTGCTGTGCATCATGGCCCGCAGTTTTGAGAGCTGCTCGCAGGCCTCTGAGAATATTGAGAGCTGCATCTTGAAGTCGTTTTTGCAGATGGAAGAGAAAGAGAATCTGTTATCGACCATGGCCTCCAAGCAACGTCCTATTGAGATATTGCAAGCTATGGAAGAGAAGCGGCAGCAGCAGCTTAAAGCTGCGGGGCTTCGCACACAGAGCTTGGCATGCACGAAGCTGTCAGATCAGGCCGAGCAATCCATGCTGTTGCGCAATCAACGCCAGGTCGGCACGGACACGTGCCATTACTGCCTGCAGAAGTGGACACATTGCTATTGCAATAGTGACCAGGACAGCGTGTTCCCTGTCCACGTCGCTGCAGCAAATGGGTGTAAGAGTCCCGCAAGTGAGCGTCCTAGCGTTTCGATGGGAGACAGTGATGCAAGTCGTTGCAGTCGATGTGAGAAGGACTGGAACCACTGCTACTGCTGCCAACAAGTATCTCCTACTATTTCGTCCGTCTGTACGGACAATTGAGCACTATCTACCATACTGCTCCTCCACGGCCCAATTATTGTCCAGGTGCTGAATTTATTGCAATAATTGAAACCATTTTAATTAAATGCTGCCCACCATTTTAAAATACATTAAACCATTATTTCTTAACCCAATACAATTATTATAATGACTGGGCGTAAGCATGCAGTTCCATGGCTCAGCTGGACCGAGTGGCACGACGTGTGTGTAAAGTTATTTAGTAGCGATCCATACGCTCAACAACACGGTGTCTCTCGTATCGCATCCTGGCGCAATCGTGCGCAATTACCCGTAGCCATTAACGCTACGGCACAATTATTGGAGCTTCAGCTTCATGAGTCAATGGCACAGCATCATCACCATGCAATAGGCGTGAGCTCTCGCTCTTATATGGAGTTGTCTCTCTTATATTCAAGCATTATAGTACGTTGTGTCAATGGTCTAGTGGATGGTTCACAGAAGGGCGCGTATGCCTTGGCCGTTAGTACCTTGGCACAACGCATTGGTATTCCATTGTGGATCGTCGACTTGCGTCATGAATCAACACACAATCAATTGCCATCATTATCAGTGCTGCGTTTTGCTGCTCGTCATCTATTGGCGTGGCTTCGAACGAATTATTGGGAAGCTCAGAGACTACAAATGAGAAGACAAGTGGATCATGTCTCGCAGTGGTTGTTTGAACAATTGCCACATTTAAACAGACAATTGACTGATGAGAAGGAGAAAGAGGACTCGATACAAGAGGACATTACGCAGGTACAAATTGACTTGAAGCCGAGATTGGATGTGGACACTCTGCGGAATATTGTAGTGCCCCTGCTGGTTAATGGTGAGCACTTTGATGCGCCTGGGGTGTCGACTGGACTGCTCTTCCTTGAGGAACCTCTACAGCTAGAAGATAAAGGATCGAGAGATACTACGGCGATTGTGCAAAAAGATGCATTTATCACGCTACTACTGCAACTGCAGCCATTGTGGAGGAGCTTTAGTGCGTCGTTGTTAGCGAGATTGTGTCAGAAAGTATTCGACGCTATCTGCACACAGAAATCCTGGTCGTTAAGTGGACAAGGTGGAGAACTGTCTAGTTTCTCTTTCGGTGACCAGGAAAAGTGTACTTTCAAGCAGAATGAAGTGGAAATGACGTTATTGTGGATCAAGTTTATGATCAGCAGCGATTATCGTGAAAGGATAAAGCTGCAAATTGGGCCCATTCATGATCTGTGCCAATGCGGCGCCGAAATGCTTGCTCTTGCCGAAAATCTCCAGCCTGACGACGTAATAGAAGGTCGAGAGGAGCTGTTAGAGCGTTTGCTAGCTGCGTTGAGATTCAGCAAAGCCGTCAAAAACCATTCAACGTTGGCAATAGAAGCGGCAATTGCTACCAGCTTAGCATCTGAGTCTGCCATAGGCTGGACCCAACTCCCTGCTTGGGTGGAGAGCCCCATTGGCCTTCGCTATTGCTACACAAGTTATGAAAGTAATAGCCAGTGTCAAGTGCTCGAGTTTTCACTTGACGATGATAGTCTGACGCCAGACAGCACAACATTTGTCCTTCCTGAAGACGAGGAAGAAGAGGGTATCTATGATACCGGCGCCGATGATGTCATGAATGCGCTCATGGAAGACTTGGACGCAGCCTATGTCGCTACTCTTCAGCAAACTCTCGATTTGCAGGCCACGATTGCTCGTGATGGCCTTCGACAAGGTGGCAGTGCAATGGTGTTGCCGAAACAAGAGCTTCAGCGTATCCAGGAGGAGATTGAAATTTGGTAAGCTGGAGAATGGCGCTGAACAAGACTCCATTGTGCGTTCTAAGCTCGACTCGCCCTTCAATGACCAATATTCCTGCCAAACATTACAAAGACAACTGCCAAACACTACGAGGCAACAGCCAAACAACATACCTTTTGACACAAGTTTCACCTTCCGTTATTGGTTGGGCCCTAGCTTAGAGGAAAGTTAGCTTCTTCCATGAGTCTACAAAATGAACTTGGAGAGGTCCGTCTTCTTCATGAGCTTGCCCACGCGCTCAAGCACAAATTCCTTCGTAATAGTAACGGTGGATCCGGGAGCCATCTCGGAACTGTCGAAGCTGATGTCCTCCACTACCTTCTCCACCACCGTGTGCAGTCGTCGGGCACCAATATTCTCCACGGTCAGATTAACTTCTGCAGCGACATGAGCAATCTCCCGGACAGCATCTTCCGTAAAGTTCAAAGTAACACCCTCCGTCTTTATTAGCTCAGTCTGCTGTTTGATGAGGTTCGTTATAGGCTCCGTCAGGATACGGTGCAGATCTTCCTCAGTCAGTCCCTTCAGCTCAACACGAATCGGCAGACGACCCTGCAGTTCAGCAAGCAAATCCGACGGCTTCGACGAGTGGAAAGCGCCAGACCCAACGAACAGAATATGGTCCGTGTTGACGTTGCCGTGCTTCGTGGAAATGACGCTGCCTTCAATCAAAGGCAGCAGGTCGCGCTGTACACCCTCGCTGCTGGGGTCCGAAGAGCGGCGAATGTCTCCGCTGGAGCAGATCTTATCAATCTCATCAATGAAAACAATGCCATTCTCCTCAGTCTCGTGAATAGCTTCACGCACAACGTCCGTCATGTCAATGGCATTTTCCATCTCCATGTCTTCAAAGACACCACGTGACTCAGCAATCGTCATGCGTTTTCGTTCCGTCTTCTTCTCCCCAAAAGCTCTGCCAAAGACTTCCATCGAGATTCCCTTTCCTTCCCCACCGACAATAGAAATAGGCTGACCACTGGGATTCTTGGCAGCAGGCACATCAAATTCAATAATGCGATCTTCCAATTCTCCAGCATGTAGCAGCCGCTCAAACGTCGTACGCGAGCGCTCCGTCACGTTCGTACCCGTAAGTACATCCAAGATGCGGTTCTCCACAAAATGTTGTACCTGCTTGCGCATTCGCTCCTTCCGAGTCTTTTTGACCATATTAATGGCATTCTCCACCAGATCACGGATAATTTGGTCCACGTCACGGCCATGGAAGCCCACTTCCGTAAACTTGGTAGCTTCCACCTTGACAAATGGAGCCTCAGACAACTTAGCTAGACGTCGAGCAATTTCCGTCTTGCCACATCCTGTAGGACCAATCATTAAAATGTTCTTGGGGCTCACTTCTTGACGCATTTCGTCCGAAATCTTCTGACGACGCCAACGATTGCGTAGCGCGATGGCTACAGCGCGTTTGGCATCAGCTTGACCGACAATGTACTTGTTAAGCTGCTCGACAACCTCTCGGGGCTTTAATTTACGTCCAATACCGTCCCCTTCTTCTTCTTCCTCGTCAGTTACAACGTCGTCCACGATCGACACAGAAACGGACGTGTCTTCCTCTGACGCTTTGGGGAATGCAGTCGAAAACGAACGAAACGCGGACGGATGAAACAAAACCCCACGTTTCTGAATATCAAAACACACAACATCATGACAAACACTCTGCTGTGCGCGACGTGAGAAGCTCTTGAACGCCTGCAAGTGAACAGCACGAAGCATCGTAAGGTCGGTCTTCCTGTTTACTATAGTGGAGCTAGGCTCCGTACCTTCTTGTGCTGTTTTTGTCCAATCATCGCAGCTTAAACGCTGCATTTCTATCCTCCAATCGTATTTAGTCTTGTGATCATGTGTGCCACATGACCATGACAAGACCATCACTCTTCCACGTAACCACCATAACCGATTCCGCACTGAGGGACAGTCATGGCACCCAAGAAGAACAAGCAGCGGGAGAAACTCGAACAAAGTCGTGCGTCCTCCAGTGCGCGTGCACATGAGTCTTTACTATCAAGTGCTGGATCTACTACTGTCAATCGAGGTTTTATCAGCTTTTCGAACTTTGCACAGCCACCGAAACCCCACGCGGTTCAACCAACGGAGTTTATAACCGGCGCATGTGCTTTCAAGCCGCTTGTATCGAGCTTTTATGATGGATCAGACCAGGAGATTGCTTTAATGCTCAAGATGTTGACGAAGAAAGGAAGTGTGACAAAGATCAAGACACTGCAGATGTTCTTAGAGAAGGTGTTGCCATCTCGTCAGCCGATTGACATTCGTCCAATGCTTGGACACTTTATACAACTTTATACATTTGAAATGCGTGATCAGAACGACCGAAAGGTCCGTCAGTTGCTTAATAAAGTACTGGCGGCATTGACGGAGAAGATGCGGCCTAGAGCTTTCATGCCACATCTGCAACGACTCTTGCCTTATTGGTACTTGGCTATGCACGATGTCAATGCCGACGTGGCAATGCAGGCTAACAAGGCTTTTCATACGTTATTTCCAGAGCTGGAAATGCGCAAAAATGTACTGGAAGAACATGTAGCAGCTATGATGGAGGAGTTTCAGAGATTTTTTGGAAAAACACCCGATACATGTGATGGGGTTCCACTGCAACCTGATGAAAAGGAAGAGAGGTACGAGAGGTGCATTTCTGCGGCAGTGTTGAGCATTGACGCGGTGGTCAAGTTTGTAGCTGAACAACAAAGAACACATTTATTGTGGGACGAACAAGCGAGCTGCTCAGTGGCTACGGTGGTTTCGTCCGATAAGTTTACGCGTCTTGCTACTGCGTCATCGAAACATCCGAACTTTACACGTGATATTGTAAGAAGAGCGATGTATGTGACTCTGGTCACGTTGTGCACGAGTGCCCAGGAGATTGTTGCTGCTCGCGAAGAAGCGTTCGGTAAGGTGGTTCTCGGTATACTTGGTGATAAGAGCCCAGCCAACCACGATGCAATGTGGAATGCCGTGCTTACGTTTTTGCAAACCTTTCCCAACGTATGGCACTCGAGCGCCAGTTTTCCTAAATTCGTGGTCAGTGTTGTTTACCCACGACTCTTTGCGCAGATCAGACATGGATTTTATGGATCAGGTCGGTCGTCATTTGCAACACTGTTGCCATTCTTGTCAATGGTGCCTTTGAGTGTGGCAGTTGATCCTTCTAAAGGTCAGTCTGCATTGTATATAGGGGTACTGGAGCAGTGTTGTAAATTTCTTGAGTCGAAAGACGCGCGATTCTGTGAGCCTTCAGCAATCACAGCATTTTTCGAATGTATGACCGGGTTTTTCAGCATTTTCTTGAACGAGACTCCGAATGCGGCGTGGTTAAGTGAACAGGATACTGATCGATTTGAGACCAACTATGTAAACCAATTTGAGAAAGTGTTTGTTTCTTTGCTACAGCAAACGCTTAGCTCTCTTGATTTTGCGGAGGGAGAGGTGGCCCTCTTCGCTAGCAGCATGTTGAAGATGAGCAGTCGGTTACGCAGCTTTGCAACTGAATCCCGCATAGTTAACACGTTAAAAGATGACTTAATGGCGAAGATTCACAAATGGACAAGACAAGCAGTCCGCTCGATGATATGCACGTTATCGTTCATACCTTCAAGAGTTATTGCTCTTCTTGACGCAGGTGTTTCTGCCCTTAACAACAACAGTGAAAAACATGAGGCCGCGCAGTGGTTATTGACAAGTAAGGAGCTGTATGGACAGTGCCTCGACCAGATGGATGCTTTCGTGGTGGGATCTACGTTTTTGCCGGACAAGAATGAATCGATTGCCAAGTTGCTGGCGGCAAGTAATGGTGTATGCAAAATTTACCCTTTGGATGTGCTGTTGAACGTTGCCGATACACCAGTTGAAATCCATTTTGATGCTCACTATCGCCCCGTTCTCCGCGCACTTGCTGGTTGGAAGGAAGCGGCCAATCGAAAGAGTGAGGTGAAGACAATGCGTATAGCTTTGGAACTCACGCGGCCATTTTTCCTTGCTGCACAGGAGAAGAAGCAGTTTATATTGCAGCTTTTCCAGGACTGCAAGGTGCAATACGGTGACCTGGAGGAAGCGAGCGACATCATTCAGTATGGACTGCAATTTCCGGTCACTAAACAGGGCATCGAGCTGTGGCTTTCTTGTGGAAGCTGGCAAAACGGCTATGAGAGGGGTGTACCTCTGAGCGACCAATCGGATCCGACACTGGAAGCGCTTCAAGCAATCTGGCAAGGCAAGCTGGTTGACGAGTTTTTGCTGATTAGCTTAAAGGGACGGATTGATGACATGGATGCAAGTGCTTTTTCCACTCTTCTGAAGGCGTGCCTTGGCGGTCGGTCTAATTTCCCTGTTGTAAGCTCTGACGCAGTGGTAATTCTATGTCACTATGTTCTTCAAAAAGGAAACGATAACAGCGACGCAGTGGTGCTGCAGATACTGACACATCTGTGTGAGCTGTTCTTCAAATTAAATGGAGAGCTATCTGCTGAACTTGAAGCAGTTGAAGGCCAATTGTACAAGCTGGTATTCTATCTGTCGGCGCGGGGAAGTTATCGAGTCGAAGCGAGCGCACTTTGGGCACAAACGGTACGCCACTCTCTCAACAAATGGACGCCGACGCGAACGGAGATATTCGTAAACGAGCTGGCTGGGCATATCAACGATTTTTTTCTTGCAAATACGCTTGATACGTCTTTCAATGCTAAGCTGTTTACAGCGTATGTCAAGAGCTTCGTGCAGCTTGGTGCCGATCAGGCGTTTTTCACTGTCTCTCAGTTGGTGGAAAAACTGGACGCTGTTAACTTAAGATGTCCAGATGATTCTCGACAGAAGCTATTCTATAGTCGAGTGTTGTCGGGATTGGGGGAAGTCTGTGCAGATGAACAAATCGTGGATATTTTGCAAGCTTACTTCGAATCGTTGGCATTGAAGAATGAAGACTCGGCAGTTGCACTTGTTGCAAAGTTGGTGGATCTAGATGTCACTCACGCGGTGTCGTGGGTAGTGTTTCACTCCAATGACCATATCCAGAGGGATGTTGCGTTGGTGGAGGTGGTGGAAAGTTATTTGACTTTTGATCGTTTGTACGAAGCGCTGAAACTGTCGTCGGGACTTATAAACAAGGTGCTTGCAGATGCACTTACACAGTGCCAGGGCAAGCTCATAGATGACCTTGCAGAATATCGCAACTTTGTCTTCTTGGATAAAGATCAGATTGTTGCTGCTACGAGCCAAAGCGTGAGTTTGCTTACACCAGATCAACATGAGAAGCTGGACAATATATATATCGAAGTGCTTACTAGGTTTAGCTCCATCGCGGCACGAACATTATTCGTCCAAGAATTAGTGGACCTGAATGGCGATTGGCAGGCGAAAGCTGCCCAAACGGTTGCTATCTCACTATTTCGTGCGATTTGTGTGGAAAATGAAGCCAGTGACGAAGCCAGTGATGAAGCCGTCGCAGCAGTAAAGGGATTTTTTGCTTTATGTGATCATGATATTATTTCCGAGCTCACGACGGGTTTATTTCAGTATTTGCGATTGGTGTCGTGGGCAGTCAAAGAAGAAAAGAAACTACCGATTACTTCCCGTCTTGCCAATGAAGAAGTTATCAGCCTGTCGACTCAGGAGTTAACTATGCGGCGACTAGTTGAGATGCTGGCGCCAAGTTCGTCAATTGTGGTAGAAATTGTTGAATGGGTCGCTATAGTTGAGTACGTGGGTTCTCTCTCATTATGTCTGAAAAATGCAACTTCGGGTTTTTGTGACATGTGGGGAAAGCTGGCAAGTTTGGTTTTGACGCATGGGATTGCTGGCAAGTCAGAGACTGCCAAAATTGCTGCACTCCGAATCCACAAACGCAGTGCTATCCTTGGCGCCCGCAAAATTGTAAAGGGTGACGAGGAGCAGATTGTGCTTGCCTACTCGAATGAGCTAGTCATCGCACGGCTAGTTTTGATGGACCTCATTATTGCAATGCATAACTCGAACCCAGACGCGCTTCAAGAGCTTGCTGCCCACTACCGAGAGGCTCTTCTGTCAACGGTGCTATGTGGACTTTCTGAGAGTGCTGAGCTGAAGGCAAGTATTGTAACGACGTACGTGGCGTTAGCGTCTCCGTCACAGTGCTTTCAGCTTGTAAGCCTTTCGTTCAACGTTGAGAAGTTGCTAGCACTTGCGCTCCCGGCATTGCACGCAACTCTTACAAGCATTCATGATATTGATCACGTGAATCGGCTTGTCCTGGAATCTTTTGGTGGCATCGATACGCTAGCATCACTTTTCAATGGAAAACGCTACCCGCTGCAGCCACTGCTGCGTGTATTGCTATATATTCTCGCCTCGTACAGCGGCGCGCTCCGCTTGCGTCATTACGATACAAGTGCAATCGATGTAAACGCTGAAGATGAGGCTGCGACAGAGTCCGCGTTGTCCAGACTGCTCATTCCAAAGGCATTACGCGCAGCGCTGCGTGCTGTGTTTGCTGACCGAAATGGCGAAACGAGTCCTACAACTATTCGCATGCGTAGCCGTAAGCAAAAGGTGCAGGAGCGGGAGGACATCATGGGAAAATTGCTACTCTGGGATATATTCCTGCAACTTTTTCCTTCTAGTGGAAGTAGCGGGGAAAGCAATCGTGATGGTGAAGGGGCTTCCTCCACGCTGATCGCGTCTTCTTTAAGCTCGTACGTAACGCGTCACGGGATGCTTACAAACTTCTTGAACTTTAGTTCTGCGTTATTATCGCAAGAATCCCAGTCTTCATCGAAGGCAGCGATCTCAGAACTAAAAGATACGACGCTGTTTGCCGTAGAGGATTTGGAAAAAAGTGAGGACGATGAATTATGGAGCCTCCACAAGACGCGCATCTTTGAGCTTGGTACTCGCGTTTTCTTCCGTACGGTGGTTCGTCTTCCAGCGATGGTGCGGTCCTGGTGGAATGATGATTGCTCGCGCGCTACGCGTAGCTGGGCTGCCAAGTACTTTGAAGACTATATCACCCCTTCGGTTCTTGCATCGGAGCTGAAGCTTATCCAGAATGCTAGCGAAAGCTCCTCTTCTGCTGGTGCATCATGGGACGACGAAGAAATGACCGTAAAGGGTAGTCGTGTGTCTCGCGAGATAACGACAACTTATGTCAAGGACGAGTGTGCTTTGGAAATGGTGGTGCGTGTGTCATCTTCCTACCCATTACGGTGCGTGGAAGTTGAGTGCACAAAGCGCATTGGTATTTCCGAAGATCGCTGGCGTCGCTGGGTACTGCAGATTATCCGCGTGACATCATCTCGCGATGGCTCACTCCTGGACGCCGTACTACTGTGGAAGCACAACGTGGACAAGGAGTTTGAAGGTGTCGAACCGTGTCCAATCTGCTACTCGATCCTAAATCCCAAGAACATGAGTCTACCGTCATTAGCTTGCAAGACATGCAGCAACAAGTACCACAACTCGTGTCTGTACAAATGGTTCAACCAGTCGGGCAAGAACAAATGTCCAATATGCCAACAACCATTTTGCTAAGACAAAAGAAGTACTCGCTAGTACTTGAATCCTCGATTAATTGGCTCGTGTTTTCAATAACTTAAAAAAAAGAGTCCAACAGAGAGAGAGAGAGCGAGCGAGTGTGTTGTTGTTGTACATCCTTGTAGTAAAGTAGCAAGCAGGTCAGTTCTAGCAAATGACACAGCCACATCCTGTCAATTCTTCCGTTTTCGTCGCAACGTGACTCCGTGTAGCTTCTAAGCAAACGACCAGCAGCAGCAGCAATAGTCAGCCCAGCTAGTTCCCCACTAAGCGTCGGACCTTGTGCAGCAGAGCACGCGTACCTCGCACCGTCGGCTGAGGCTTGTAATTCACCGAGACATTTACAGGCGTCGGATGCGTGTCAAAGACCGGAACAGCAGATCCCAATTTTTGCGTATCTTGTAAAATACCGCGTCCCATACAAACAAATCGAACCGCTTTCGTGTCTTTCACAGATGGCACGTCTACAAAAGACTGTGGTATTAGTGACAAAAGGGACCAAACATCTGACTGCGCTTCAACTGTCACGTACTTTCAGGCCAACTGCGCATGAGACGGGTCTTTACTTGTGCCACGGTTGCTGTCTTGGGAAAGCTCAAGACGACGTGGACGCCATCTTGGTTAGCAAAGAGAAACTTGAGTCGTAATTCGTTGCTCGCCATAATGGTCCAACTGGTGTCTGTCTGTGTCTGTGTGTGAGTGTGACAGTGGAAGTTCTACGTAGTGTGCGACTTTTTTCAGTGTTTCAGTTGTGTATGGCGATTGGACGATAAGATGAACTCACCCGATCGATTGATTAAGACTTGTTCAGGTCGGGAATTTCTTTGAGTTTTAGAAGAATTTATTTAGCGTTAATCAAGAAACTCGTAACTGTTGGGATATTGTAGATGTGCATGTATAAAAACATCCGTTGATTACCACTTGATGATGATGATGATGATGATGATGTGCGCAACGTTTCATCTGTCGAGAGGAACTAGGCGTTACACATAAGACTTAAGTGTATCATAGAAGGACATGAGGAGTAAGGGCTTTGTTCTATCACTTTGGCATTTGCCTATAACAATCTCATCTCAACAGGTAAACATTTGCAAGGTTTTAGCTGGTAAGCTATTAGACAGAAGGCTCAAGCTATGACCACTAAGCGCGTCGAAGTCCTCCTGGGGAGTAAAAATGACTACTACTGGGAATACAACATGCGCATGACCCTTATGGCGGAGCTACGTAGCTCTTAAGTCAGAGGAAGACTTATAGGCTAAGTGGGGTGTGCTAAAAACGTCTTTTAATTACAATTTTGAGGCTTTGAATTTACAACTACGGGTACAAATTAAATAATTTATTAGAGCTGTAACATCTGTGCAACATTCTCCAACAATTTCTAGTTCGTTTTGTGGTTCCTTGCACCATGAGTGACTCTGACCCCAACGACTCCACAACTGCGAGTGATACAGAACCCAGACTATGCTCTAAAAGCTCCGAAAATGGTTCCCGAGAGGAGGAGGGAAAAGAAGAAGAAAAGGAGGAGAAGGCTCCGAAACTGTCTCGAAAAAAAGTGCCGCACTAGAGCAGAAATGTAACAAGCAAAGAAGAAGAAGGAGGAAATGAAAGCAGCCAAAGAGAAGCAAAAGCACGAGAAGACTGCCGAAAAACAAGAAGTGGCCTTGCGTAGAAAATTGAAAAAGGAACTGAAAGAGAAAAAACGCGTGGCGGCTGTTTCAGCTCGATTCGTCTGGACCGACGGCGTGACGATGGAGCTTCTTGAAATGATTAAGGAAACCAAGGACGAGCATGACAACCAAGATGCATCTATGACCGGATATGAAATTTTGTAACGGGGTGAGCCCGTTACAAATTTGGTCTAAAAACTTTGAGCGGGAGGCGGAGACCGCCGTCAAGATAAAATTTAGGACTTTGAAGGACTTTAATGCTGCCGATTTAGAGCATCGTTATTCATGTAACGGGGTTACACGACGGTTGTAGCGTCTTTCCGAGAGTTTACGGTTAAACTCCCCTTTGTATTGCATATAATGCATTATGATACTTTTTTTAGAGAGGTATTAAGTATAAGCGTTAAAGATACGGTATTCGGTAATACCGTATCTTATCGATTAGGATTCGATAAGTCGATAACGCTGTACTAAGTACATCATACACAGATGTTTAGACGATACGTCGTCCAATAGCAAAGTCTGCATATCATAATTTCTATTATAGTAATTAATTTAGTGTAGTGTACTTAGAGTAGGACTATTCATAAAATCTTAAAGCATAAATAAATTCAGTTCTTATTTTGAGTTTAAGATCGCAAGTCGTTCTGAGTTGTTCTCTTGTGCACTTCGTGCGTTGGTTCTCTGAACCTGTAAGCTTCTAGCTTGTTCTTGCACTCTGTGCGTTGGTTCTCTGAACCTTAAGCTTATTGCTTGACTGACTGAAAGTTTCTTTCCTCGTTCCTTAGAACAGGGTGACTTTAAGTCGTTTGATTAGTTCCTTAGAACTAAGTGGCTTTTAGCCTTAACTCTATTTAGTTCTCTAGAACTAAGAGGCTTTCAGCCTCAAGTCTCCTCTGGCTAAAGAGCTGTGCAGCTCCACTACACTTGGTAGCACTTGTAGTCAATCTTACACCTGAGTCTTTAAAGATTGACCCTCTGTTAGAATGGAGAATCAAAATCACCTCTCTGAGGCGCAACGACTTGCACTAGATAAATTATCTGCGTTTGTTGAACCCGATCAAATCGAGGCTCTTTTGTTCCAGGGCCCGGAGGCCTCAATGCTCGCCTTGAGGCCTTTATGCGTTATGAGCTAAAGCTGCTTGAGCAGGTCCATGACCAGGCAGCGTCAGCGGCGCCTACACAGTACATCTCCCGGTACCTGTGCCCGATGCAGAGTGAAAGGCTCGCCCACTCGTTTTGAACGTAAAGACTTTTGAGGGGAAGGAGGGAGAAAATCTTCTCCTCTGGATCCAAGAAATTGAAATGGCAATGGATGCCGCCATGCTTGTATCAGATAAGCAACGAGTTGGCTTGGCCATTTCGAAGCTCGGTGGAAGAGCTAGAGAGTGGGCTCTAACGAGCGATGTCTCTGTAAATGCTGCATTCCCCACCTGGGAAATGCTTAAAAAGCATGTTTTTGCACCGCCTAATCAGGCTTATCGTGTGCGCTCACGCTTCTTAGCTACCCAACAGGGTAAAAAAGAATTGTCGGACTATGTCCAAGAGTTAAGAACTCTAATTGCTGCTATGCAGCAGGACCCACTAGCAGATGAAGTCCGAGTAACCATTCTTATGAAAGGACTTCGTAGTGGGGTCCCCAGGACGGAAGTTTTCCGTGTCCAGCCTTCGACTTTCGAAGAGGCAGTAAGCATAGCGTTAAACGCTGAATTTAATTTTTAAATCTGGTTGATATGGTCTGCCATGGTATCAATCAAATACATTTAACAGGGAAGAACCCATGGACCTCAGCCATGCTGAAGAAGCTGAGCTTCAAGCTGCTGAGCAGCAAGGTAACATCCGTAGATGTTACATGTGCGGAAGCACTAGGCATCTCTGCCCTAGCTGTCCGTTGCGAAAGCAAGGTTCAAATCGGCAGAGCCGAAACCCTGCTCCTAGCCAAAAGGCGAGCACCGCAGGGGGAAAACGTCAACTCCCAGTAGGCGCGGGGCGCCCTACTGGGAAAGAACTAAGTTCTGTTGAATCTTTAGGAGGTAAATGTAAACAGGGCTTATCTCCAGGTGGTTCTGTGGATGCTTCCATGGAACAAGATTACAAGCCAGGCTTGTTGGTTGTGTCGGCAACCGTTAAGGGTTTTGAGAAATCATGGTCAATTATAATTTACTTAGGGGCGTCAAGTAAATATGTCCGACGTCGTTCCCTTGAAGGAAGAAAGCTGTATGCTGAAGCGCTAAAAGCGCAAGAGGGTGACAGTATAACCGTTCGTCTCGCAACAGGTGTACGTGTCACCGTTCCTAAAGTTCCGTTGAACTTAGGTGTGAAGTTCTTAGACTTCAATAGCGTTAAACGCTGTCTTGTCCTAGATTTGGACTCGCGATATGATCTTATTCTCGGTATGGCCTGGCTGGAACGCCATGAGCCAGGGATCGATTGGAGATTTAAAATCTTAGGCGCCACGCGCAATGTTCCTAGCGAAGCTTTGGAGAGTCATGAACCCGCCTTCGCTAGAAAACAAAAGTGCTATCGGCGCGAGCCATTAACTGATTCAGTTAGTGTGCTGGACATTGGAGTGTCTGAATTGATAAACTCCAATGTCAATAATAATAGTGCCGAGCAAAGCTCAATGACACCTAGTTGAGCGGCACGAACTCCGTTGAGTGATACTCAAAGTAATATTGAGACACTGGATGTCGGTAATGACATCGGCTCTCGTATAGAGCAAGTGAAGGTCGATGACCTTGCTAGTGAAGTCACTGGTACTAGTGACTCACTCGATGTCGGTAATGACATCGGCTCTCGAATAAAATAAGTGAAGGTTGATGACCTTGTTAGTGAAGTCACTGGTACTAGTGACCCACTGGATGTCAATATTGACATCGGCCCTCGCATAGGGCAGCTTAAGGTCAAGGGATCTGTTGACCTTGGAGATGATGGTATTCCAATTACTTTTAATGGTACGGTCTCGTCAATGAGACGGCAGCGTCGCCAGATGGCGGCTGCGAGACGCAAAGCGTCTGTTTTATCGCGTAGTAATGTTAGTGACCAGTTGTACACCCTGGTCAACGGAGTGACAGGTGATGTAGATGGTGAGGTTGACCTTGAGGCCCTCCCATCATTAAATGCTCTTTTAGAGCTAGACGAAATGTCTGTGGATGAATTTAATCAGGCCTTGAAGGCAGGTGCTCTATCCGATATGGTGGTCATTCGACCTAACCTCGAGCTGAACTCATCCTCGCTTGTCGATGAGACAGTAATTGAAGATACAAAAGCGGCACTAAGTGCACGTAGTGGGGCATCTATTCTGAAGAACCCTTCGGATACCTACTATCCTTTAGTTAAGGAATTCCAGGACGTGGTGTGTCACGATCCACCGTCGGTTCTACCACTTGATAGGGGTGTACGTCATGAAATTGACTTGGTTCCCGGAACCAAATACTGCGTAACACGGCAGTGGCCTTTATCCAAAGAACAGTGTGACGTCATTGACGAGTTCTTTCGTTCAAAGCACGCGGCAGGAATGGTGCGCGAGAGCAAATCTCCGCACTCGGCATCCACTTTCTGTGTTAAGAAACCGAATGGTAAATGGCGTATCGTACATGCTTATAATAAGCTCAATGCGGCCACTATACCTGCACAGACACCGATACCTAGGAAGGATGTTCTTCAGAACAATATGGTCGGTTGTACCATGTACAGTGAGCTCGACTTAGTCGATGGTTATTACCAATTGCTCATGCGAGCTAGCGATATTCCGCTTACTGCTGTTAGTACTCCGAGCGGTATGCTCTGAGAGTGGTTAGTGATGCCCCAGGGGCTATCTAATGCTCCGGCTACGTTTAACCGTTTGGTGAAGCAATTGTTTCGACCCCATCGAAGTTATGCAAAGACGTACTTTGATGACATTTTTGTTCATTGTCGAGCTGAACAAGGGCGGTCAGATATTGAGAACCATATTGTTCATTTACGAGCTGTGCTCGAATGCATGCGCACTAATA